CTTCCTTGCCCGAGTTGACAACCGAAGCCCCTTCCCCCCTGGATTCATGGTTGGGTCCAACCGGGATGCCGTTGGTGATTTCCGCAGTTACTTTTCTAGAACTCACCGGACTGGTGGAGGCCAGTCTAACTCTGATGACGGTGCCAATCCACTGCTCCGTCGCAGTGATCAGGGCCGTGACGGACCCCAGCGTCCTACCAACCCCCACACCCTCGGACTGAGACTCCCCGAAGGTATCTTTGGTCCAGGCGGACGACACGGCATCGATGGCCCCATGGGTTTCCTCGGAGAGCTGATGGAGTTTCTTCCAATTATGAACCGTAGTGGATCGCACGCTTTCCACTTGCAGTTCAGTGGCCCTGGCATTCCTCGAGAGGCCAGAGAGCTACAGGTTCGGGGATCACGGAGCGAGCAGAGACGCGATGGTGTGGCTCAAGAACCCTCACAAGCGGTGTCATTCATCATCGAATCCACCATGGACCGTTACCAGGAAGAAGCCAGGATGATATTTGGGCTGAGCCATGCGACAGAATCCGCCAAACTCTACAACATAATCGCAGCCAAGCTTACACCGGCTGCCATGGAGTTGGAACGGAAGCTCAAGGCCGAGGAAGCTGAAACCCAGAAACGTGAGGAGGAAGAACGAAAGAAGCGTGAAGAAGAGCAGCGCCTTGCTCGTGAGGCCAAGGAGGCGGAAGAAAAGGCCGAAAAGGAAAAGCGAGAGGCCGAAGCTCGGGAAGCCGCGGAGAGAGCCGCTTCAGAAGCCGCTGCCGCAAGCCAAGGTGCCTCTGTTGAGGGACAAGGTGAAAGCGGCGCCATGGAGGGTGTTGAATCAACCGAACAGACCCGCGCGGAGCGTTCGAATGCCCCAGCCCAAAGCACCAGCAACGAGCCTCGCGTCGTGACAACAATCAGGGGCGAAGAGTTCGATGTCACTGAACTTGGCATTGACCCTGAGTACCTTGCAGCTTTGCCCGAAGAGTTCCGGGAGGAGGTCATCGCTCAGACTCTCACCACGAGAAGGTCGCAAGCAAGAGAGGAGGCAACCACTGGCGAATCCACAGAAGTCTTCCAAGAGTTTCTCGATGCCCTTCCAGATGAGCTGCGCCGGGAAATCGCACACCAGGAGCTTCAGGAGCAGCGCCGCCGGGCTCGTGAAGACCAAAGCCGCCAAACCACCACGACTGGCGGGCAGACTACTGTGCCCGAAATGGACACGGCTAGCATTCTTCTCACATTCCCCCCTGAACTGCGAGAACAGGTCCTCATCGACCAAGGCGAGGAGCTGATGGCTCACCTAACCCCAGAGATGGCAGCCCAGGCGCGGGCACTGAGCCAGCTCAACAATTCCCACTCTGTCATCACCGGTCGAAGTCCCCCAGGCGTCAATGCAGCCCGCCAACCTGGACCACCAAGACCCCAGACTGGAAACAAGGCTCAGCGCCGAACGGTTGTTCAGATGCTCGACAAGGCGGGCGTCGCCACGTTGCTGCGCCTCATGTTCATTGCCCAGCAGGGATCTATTCGAAACTATCTGTTCAGCGTCTTTGCTGATGTTTGCGAGAACAAGCAGACCCGTCTCGAGGTGATTAGTACGCTCCTCCAGATTCTGCAAGATGGTAGCACAGATATGGGGGCTGTAGAGCGCAGCTTTGGTCAACTTTCGTTGAAGGCTCGACGACCAAAGGACAAAGAGTCAGAGCAGAGAACTCCCCAGACTCTCAAGAGGAGCCTGACTGGCCTGGCTGCTTCGGCAACCACACAGACAAACTCGGAAACCTCACCTCTTCTGATCGTACAGCAGTGTCTTGATCTTCTGGTGGAGTTGTCTACTAAGAACCCTCACATCCCCTGGCTCTTCTTGACGGAGCATGAGACTGTTGGCTCGACCCTTAAGCGTTCTCTTAGCCGCAAAGGAAAGGTCAAGGACACCAAGTCCCACAAGTACGCTATCAATTCGCTGCTTTCTCTTCTCGACCGCGATTTGGTCATGGAAAGTTCAGTAGTTATGACTCACTTGGCGGACTTGCTGAACCGGGTGACGATGCCACTCCAGAACCTCGAACGGCGTCGCAAGGAAGCTGAGGATGAGCTGAAGGCGGCTTCGGCCAAGCCAACAGAAGAGTCTGCTACAGCCGAAACAACAACGGACCAAGGCACAAGTGGCAACCAAGCACCATCAAGCAATGCCAATGAATCAAGCACTGCCCAGGCGGGCACAGCGGAAACCACTGCCGCCGAAGAAGCTGCCAAGATGCAAGAGAGGAAGGAAGCTGCACAGAAGAAGCTTCGACAACTTCAGCCGCCGGTCATCCCAGCCCAGAACTTGACCCTGGCTGTAAGGATCTTTGTGGCTCGGGAATGCAGTTCCAAGACGTTCCAGAACACAATTTCGAGCATCAAGAACCTGTCTGCTATCCCTGGTGCCAAGGCGACATTTGGTCATGAGCTCGTTAACCAGGCCCGGCTTCTGAGTGAAAACATTGTGGCGGATCTGGATGATCTCCTCCCCTACATTGAAAAGGCGTCTTCAGGCACAGAGATCCAGGGCGTTGCCCTTGCGAAGTTCTCACCAGGAGCATCGGAACAGAACAAGCTTCTCCGAGTCCTGACGGCACTGGATCATCTGTTCGATAGCAAGAAGAAGGGTGATGAGGAGTCCGACAAGAGCCAAGACGAGAGGCACGGACTGGTCACCTCTCTGTACCACAACTCAACCTTCTCGGCTATGTGGGAGAAGCTGAGTGCTTGCTTGAGTGCCATCCGCCAGCGAGAGAACATGCTCAACGTTGCAACGATCCTTTTGCCCTTGATCGAGTCTCTGATGGTTGTGTGCAAGAACACAACAACAAACGACGACCCCTCTCAGAATAAGGAGATGGTTCTGTCCAGCCCGGCCCCCGAATCTCGGACGGCAAGCCTCTTCTTTAGCTTCACTGAAGATCATCGACGGATCCTCAACGAGCTTGTTCGAAACAACCCCAAGCTGATGTCGGGCACATTCGCCCTCCTCGTCAAGAACCCCAAGGTGTTGGAATTTGACAACAAGCGCAACTACTTCAACCGCAGCGTTCATTCGCGATCCGGTAACCAGAGCCGACCATCGTATCCTCCTCTGCAGCTTTCAGTCCGCCGTGAGCAGGTCTTTCACGATTCATTCAAGTCTCTCTATTTCAAGTCGGGCGATGAGATGAAGTTTGGAAAGCTCAACATCCGATTCCACGGCGAGGAAGGTGTCGATGCTGGCGGCGTGACTCGAGAGTGGTTCCAGGTCCTTTCTCGACAGATGTTTGACCCCAACTACGTCCTCTTCATCCCCGTTTCCTCAGACCGTACTACTTTCCATCCGAACAAGCTCAGCGGTATCAACGACGAGCATCTGATGTTCTTCAAGTTCATCGGTCGCATCATTGGCAAGGCGTTGTACGAGGGCCGCGTGCTTGACTGCTACTTCAGCCGCGCCGTCTACAAGCGCATCCTTGGCAAGTCGGTTTCGGTCAAGGACATGGAGTCGTTCGACCCAGACTACTACAAGTCCCTGTGCTGGATGCTGGACAACGACATCACCGATATTATTACCGAGACTTTCTCTGTCGAGGACGACGAGTTTGGTGTCACCAACGTTGTGGACCTCATCCCCAACGGCCGAGAGATTGCTGTCACTGAGGAGAACAAGCACGACTATGTTCGTCTTGTGGTCGAGCACAAGCTGCTCTCTTCAGTCAAGGAGCAGATGGCTCACTTCCTCCAAGGTAAGATATCAAGCTACAGGTATCAAGAGAATATACTAACCGAATCATCAGGATTCCACGACATCATTCCCGCCGAGTTGATCTCCATCTTCAACGAGCAAGAGCTGGAGCTTCTGATCTCTGGCCTGCCAGATATCGACATCGATGATTGGAAGAGCAACACCGAGTATCACAACTACAACCCGTCATCGCAACAGATCCAGTGGTTCTGGAGAGCTCTTCGCTCCTTTGACAAGGAAGAGCGAGCCAAGCTGCTGCAGTTTGTCACTGGAACCAGCAAGGTCCCTCTCAACGGTTTCAAGGAGCTTGAGGGCATGAACGGTGTTAACCGATTCAACATTCACCGCGACTATGGTAACAAGGACCGCCTACCTTCTTCGCATACCTGCTTCAACCGTAAGTTGACACCCATTGTTTGAACTCGAGGGAATGTCAAGCTAACTTGGATCAGAACTGGACCTTCCCGAGTATGAGAGCTACGATCAGCTGCGTTCTCAGATCATCAAGGCCATCACAGCAGGAAGCGAATACTTTGGCTTCGCGTAATACCGTTCAGCTTTGCATGACATGACCGTCACGTGGATGGATGATAGATGGGAGTGGAGGGACGGCGAATTGCTCTTTTTTTGCCCCCTGGTTCTGGGGAGAGTTTTCTTATTGGCAAGGATGATATGGCAAACCTAACAGGGGCTGTACTCTTTGGACTCGTCCTCATCCTGTCTATGCCGTCAGGCTACGCTCTGGAGAAGTGCAGGTCTCTTGTTGCTATTGGGCCGGGAGATGGATGGTTTGTAGGAAATTGAGGATGAAGGGCACTGCATGCATGTATATTCATTCTGGTTTTACCGCGCTTAGAAAAGTTAAGAAAGTGGTATCATTTATGCCTGTCTGAGAGTGTGATACAAGCAAGGCTAATGTGGCAAAGGCTCCTTTCTGTGTACGTGTGTGTACATGTGTGTATGGCCATGGGCAACGTTGTTGGAATGCCCAAGTGCTTACGCCTCATCTGCTATTTAAATATGTATTTATTTTATCTACTCAAGGAAATTAGACATTAGATATGTCTCTGTGTTTAGCCATAGATGATATCACAAGCCCTCTCACAGCAGCAATGAGTGAGGGAGAATGTTGATACTATCGACGTGGTTGTTTGTATTCAAGTCTTCACACATCACTGGGACGGGATGCAGGGCCTGCGCAGGCGGACCGGGACCGGCGTGTAAACACGAGCGCATCAATGCATCTTCATTTCCCGAGATGCGTCTAATACATTCGTTCGACGGCGGTCATTGCCGAAGTTGTTGTTTGGCTCAAAATCTCAAGCCCTAGAGAATCCTCACTCCCAATGCATGCAAACCACAAGACCAAGGTATGATTCCCCTTTTTTTCAATCAAACGCCAGAATCCCTTACTTGCGCATAGAGCTTGCTCGTCGCTTGCGGGCATCGGCCTTGTGAGCCTTGGCCTCGGCCACACGCTTGGCCAGGACCTGGGCGTACTCGTTCTGGAGGATTGTCAGTCAGGGTTCTCTGTGTACTGTGAAGCGGTCCAACTTACGGCCTCGTCCTTGACCTTCTCGGCCTGGCGCCGCTTGAGGGCGGCACGGTGGCGCTTGTGCTGGAGACGCTGGGGGGTGACCAGCCTCTGGATGCGGGGAGCCTTGGTGTAGGCAGCCTTGCCCTCACCCTTGGGCTGGACCTCTCGTCGGATAACGTACTTGCGGACCTAGGTTCCCCAGCCACATTAGTGTCTTTCATCTTTGGAATATTGTATACAACTCGCACCGCTGTCCTAGCCCCTTTAGAGGGCAGGACAGTGGTCCTCTCACACTCTACCCGGACTGCCAGCTCCTCCACTGCAGCTCCGGGCAGGCGATGATCGAGTATGGGCGTAGGGAGAGACATACATCGTCATCCTTGGTGAGGCCGAAGAACTTGCGGATCTTGGTGGCGCGCTTGGGGCCGAGGCGCTTGGGGTGGACGACGTCGGTCAGGCCGGGGATGTCGGCATCACCCTGCTTGACGACGCTGAGGGCGAGGACGGACAGGTCCATGCCGACGATGCAGCCACGGACAGACTTGCGCTTGCGCTCGCCGGTGCGTCGGGGGCGGTAGCAGGAGTGGCCGTCGGAGAGGAGGAGGCGGACACGGGTAGGGTGCATGACACCCTGCTTCATGGGGAAACCCTGCTTGTCGTTGCCGCCGGTGATGCGGAAGATGTAGCCCTTGAACTCGTCGCCGATGGAGTCACCGGGGACCTCAGCGCCCATCTGTAGTTGAACATGTTAGCATATCGTTCGTTGTTTGTTTCGTCGCTTCGAAGGGCGGCGGTGTGTGCATGATCGGGAGGGGTTCGACGTACGCGCTTCTCCATGAAGACACGGAGCTTGCGCTCATCCTCAATATCGATGAGCTTCTGGCTGCCATTGGCAGGGTAGCTGATGTTCAACTGTTGAAGAGCCAAAGTCAGCAAATTATTTATCTCGAGACGCGGCGGGAATCGATCTTTTCAGATGCAGACGTCGTCGAGCAGCAGCATTCAGCTTCTCAGCAGGGGTGACGCATCCGGAAGGATCGATTGACGGTGTCCTCGTACCTTCATCTTGCCAGTTGTGGTGGTGCAAGTTTACTTGACCTGGCGCTGCTTGAAGTTAGTATGAGGATGGTTGGAGGTTTGCAAAATTGCAGGCGAAATCGAGAAAGTGTGTGTCGCTAGGGCTCCCCACGCAGGTGAAATTTCCTGACCAATAAGCGCAGAGGGCTTTTCCCCTTCTCGTTAAGGGTCTCGGGGAAATGAAGTTCCGCCCGCCTCTCTTTTTTGTGCGTGAAAAAAAAAAGAAGGTGTGCCCCACCTTGAAAACGCGACGGGGAGCTCCACATTTTGCTCGACACCGGATGCTCCACCTTTCTCGGACACGGAGCGCGTTTGATCGGTACGTACCTTGACCTCACTTGGGCTCATCTTGAAGTTATTGATAGAGACCGTCTACCTACTATAATCGACCGCCTCAGGGATATTTATCCTCTGAAAACGCATCTCACACAAGATTTGACTTTTCTATTTCCAAAATGTCATCCGCTAGTCTTCATCCTCCCAACAAAAATGCCAAAACACCAAGCCCCCTGCCCCAGCTCTTACAAACACCATCCGGCCTAGCTCTCCTCGAGCTCCAAGGTGTGGTCAACATGCCCCAGACTGCCGAAGGCGAGCCAGCCAGCAGCATCGAGATTGGGAGGATCGACTTCCCCGACTACGTCCCGGACGCTGAGGGCTCTGCGTGGATGAAGCGGGTTCAACTCTACGTCGGACAGCACCAACGTCTCACGGGAGAGGTCAAGAAGTTGCCGAAAGCCATGGCTGTGGTGCGGCGGAGGGAGAACGGCACCATCACTGGCTCCGGGGGTGAGTCGGAGGAGCAGGGTGATAATCTCGAGGTGGTAGAGATTGTCAAGTACAAGATCATGTTTTCGAACCGACCCGAGCCTGTTGGAACGGCAAATGCTTCATGAGGACCTACGACTTTACCGGCAACCATGTCTTCGACTTCTCCTCCCATCACCACTTATTCAAATTGGATTGAATCCGTTGAGAGGACTTCGATACCAAAGAGCTATGGATTTGCGCCCAAGAGTCTGCTCTGGTTTGCTAGGTTGTTCTGAAGACGATCTTGGGGGGCATCATAGTAAGCCCACTCACATCCTTCTAGAGCAGGGACTCAGTCTCATTCACCAGCAGCCATTTCTATCTACCCCTTGGAAAGGGGCCACTACAAGATTTGTCCCGTCTAATTCGAAAGCCACTGTTGGCTACACGTTAGGATATGAAGGGAGGCTGATACTACATCACTATATGCCTGTCAAGTAGGCACAGGCAGCCTGACTTTGATATCATGATCATAAGGGCACGCTCCTCAGAGCCCAAGTTGACGCTAGGCTCACTAGAACAGTAAATAAATAATTAAACATGAATATCAACTTGAACATCTTCACGTATGGCAGGGCATCATTATAATCATGTCTCATTCATCTTCAAACTTTTAACCAGAGGCTCCAATCTCCAACGGCCTCGTCCTCCCCAACCCATCTTTGCCGTAGTAATCCATAGGATACACCCCCTCGCCCCAGTCCTCCCTCTCACCAAGCGCCACGAGTGCCTCGTAAGGCGTCAGCAGTGGCCGTGGGAATGCGTAACCCCAGTCAATGCTCAGTCGCGGGCACGCCACCTGCACCCAGCACTCAACGTCGGCCATGAGTGCCAGCTTGCCTGGAAATATCTCACTCAGAAGCAGGTGCACCACGGGGATCCCACGCGCAGCAAGGCGACGCTCGATGAGGCCCAGCGTGTGCGGGTTGCCCTGTCGGCCGAGAGCTCCAAGGATCAAACCCCATTTGCGCGCCGTCCTCGCCCCTTGGATGGCCGTCCTTCGAAGTGACTTCATCTCATCATGCCCGTACGTCTCGCGCGTTAGCTTCCGCGAGTAGGGGTCATAACGATACGCCGGGATCGACGGGTTATGGATCATGATACTCTCGAGATGGAAGCGTCCATCACCGAGGTACAGCATCAGATCAACCTTGTCCTCATCCTTGAGACGAGGAGATGTGCAGCCCAGGATCTCGCCCTTGCTTAGGGGAGCAATCTGCGGCACCACGACGCGGAAGCCAGCCCGCTCCAGGTTGCTCCTCACGCCGTGGATGGTGGCGTTGAACTGGATAGTTCCAACGACGGCAATCGTCTTGCCACTGGCAAAGTTGCGCTCCAGTGATGCCAATAGATGCGAGGCGTCTATGGTGATGTCGACAAAGACGTACAGAGTCTTGATCTTGGTCACGTCGACGGGGATGAGGCAACTGTGAGCATAGTGCACCAGCAAGTCGCACCCCAGTGCCCTCGCCGTGTAGTCGTCGATGCAGCACGCACCATATGTCACATCACCCATGATAAGAGTCTCGATACCCGGGCAGAACTGGGTGAGGATGTCGGAGATGGTAGTGGCAAACAGGAGCAGACCCTCGGGGAGCTGAAGCGCAACCCTCTTGGCCCCTGAAGAGCGGATGCGATGGATCGTCTTGGGGATCTCAAAGTTGTAGTTGGCCGGCAGCAGAGCAATAGCCGCCTTCAGATTAGGATCCTCGAGAATCTCCTTGGGGACTTGGTTCAGAAGTCTGGGAGCTCTTCGAGGTTTAGCAGCTAGGTGTGATTTGTCAGTATAACTTCACTCATACTAGACTCATCATGAAGAATGCACATACTCTGAACAGCACCGCTCTCACCCGAAACACCAGCTCCTCCATTCTTTGCCGCCGCCTCAGCCGCCGCTCGTCTTCCAACAAATCTCTTCTTGGGCTGCTTCAACGGTGTTGCTCCATTCTGTGTCGCAGGTGTCGTCTCTGTCTCGGCGGGGGAGGGGCTCGCCTGAGCGAGCTGGGCTTCTTCAATATCGGCCGCGGTGCCAAGATCTGTCTGTCTTCGATCCTCCTCCATATCGGCTAATATTTGATTATGCCCAAGGAACAAAGTAAGGAGCACAGTAGTGAGTTGGCTTTCCCTTGGCACTGGATTTGTGTCGCCTTCGTGACGCTGGAGACAAATGAAAAGTTGGGCGGCAATGTGCGTGGTCTGAATTTTCGACACTGTACGACCCACTTTCCACATGCACACTTCGTCATTGGGCCCCCAAGGCTACAGAAGCCATGACAGCCAAACTCGAACCTCTCTCATCATGATAACTCTTTTGGTTAAACTATGTATTCGTGTTCAAGGTCAGACTCGGGGTTTGAATGAATTGCATTAACTCGGCTCCCTATGTGCCCCTCAGAGCAGAGACCAACTCTTGCCCTCCCAATCTCTTCCTCCTCTCCAGCGTGTAAACAATCATTTGAAAACAAGTTGCTCTTACTGCGATTCCGACTTCTGCCTTGCGCGCGCTCATTATACCATTCTCTATCGAAACGCCAACAAGCTGTCCCCTCATGCTCATGCGTCAATAAGGTTCTCCTCGGTCTGCTGCTGGCCTCGGGCCTCGGTCTCTGCCCGGGCCTTGCCCTTGCCCTTGGACTCCTTGGCGGCACGCTGGTAGAACTCGTTGAGCACCTTGCTGGGGATACGGTTGAGCAGCTCCTTAGGGTAGATTCGGAGGAGGCTCCACGCAAGGTCCAGGGACTCGTAAATGCTTCGCGACTCGTACTGGCCCTGGCTGATGAACTGGCGCTCAAACTTCTCCAGGAACTCGAGCGAGAGCTTGTCCTCAGCCGACAGAGCCTCCTCACCAACGACAGCCTTCATGGCTGCGGCATCACGACCGATGGCGTACTTGGCGTACAGCTGGTTCGACACATCACCGTGGTCCTTGCGAGTCATGCCCTCACCAATGGCAGACTTCATCAGACGAGACAGCGAAGGCAGCACGTTGATGGGAGGGTAGATACCACGGTTGGCCAGAGCACGGTCGACAAACACCTGACCCTCGGTAATGTAACCAGTCAAATCAGGAATGGGGTGGGTGATGTCATCGTTGGGCATGGTCAGAATGGGGATCTGAGTGATGGATCCGTTGCGACCCGCGACACGACCGGCTCGTTCGTAGATGGTGGACAAATCAGTGTACATGTAACCAGGGAAACCACGTCGACCGGGCACTTCTTCTCGGGCAGCCGAGACTTCTCGAAGGGCGTCGCAGTAAGCGGAAAGATCAGTAAGAATGACCAGGACGTGCTTCTCGAGCTGGTAGGCGTAGTATTCGGCAGTGGTAAGGGCGAGACGGGGGGTAATGATACGCTCGATACTAGTCAACAATTAGCATCAGAGCCTACAGCATCACGGAGGCTGCGCTTACGTAGGATCGTTGGCGAGGTTCAGGAAAAGAGTGGTACGCTCCAAGCTGCCGTTCTCCTCGAAATCGCGAGTGAAGAAACGGGCAGTTTCCAAGTTGACACCCATGGCACCAAAGACGATGGAGAAGTTCTCCTCGTGGCCGTCGTGCACGCCCTTGTTGGTGATGCCCTGCTTCTGGACGAGACCGGCCTGTCGGCAAATCTGAGCGGCGATTTCGTTGTGAGGGAGACCAGAGGCGGAGAAGATGGGGATCTTTTGTCCTCGGGCAATGGAGTTCATGGTGTCGATGGCAGAGATACCGGTCGAGATCATCTCCTCGGGGTATTCCTGGAATTGTCAGCTAGGTGGAAAGACCACGAGCGCGCTGGGAGCCTTACACGGGAGTAGGGGTTGATGGGAGAACCGTTGATGTCGAGGTAGTCCTCGGCCAACACCTTGGGACCCTTATCGATGGCGCGTCCAGATCCATCAAAGATACGACCAAGCATATCCTCGGACACGCCGAGCTTCAAGCTCTGGCCGGTGAACTCGACCTTGGTCTGTTGTTGTCTTAGCCCAATGCCCTGCCATTAACTCTCGCAGCGCTGCCTACCTTCTTGACATCGATACCGGAAGTGCCCTCGAAGACCTATTGCACTCATCAATCGTTTGCTCGTGTACTATCGCATTCGGGAAAAAGTACCTGGACGACGGCTCGATCACCTATGCATCTCTGTCAGCATGTCGCACGTCACTACGCCAGGGGTTAGGCAGTATCCGCAACGCAACGTACCTCGAGCTTCCAGAACCTGACCCGATCGCTCAGTTCCATCGGGCAGGGTGAGAGTTACGATCTCGTTGTATTGCGGGAATTTGACCTGGCAGTTGTCAACTCGTGGACTCGGGCGGGCTCGATTATTGAATGACGACGTACATTCTCGAGGATGACGAGGGGACCGTTGACGCCGCCGACGGTGTTGTAGCGAATCCTGGGGACGACCGAGTACGACGACGACACGCGCGGGTCCGCCATGTTGGGCTGTAGATGGGGGGAGCTGGCGGGAGAAGAGGCGGGAGAAGAGAAGAGGACGGAGGACTGGGGAGCCGATCCGGAAGCTTGGAGATGAAGTTGGGGGAGGACGCCTTAAGCTGGGATGAGGTTGGAGGAGGTTGAGCTTGCTTCACCAAAGTGGGGACCCTGCGCCAGCGCCAGCCCAAGCCCAAAGACGCACGGCCGATAAACTCACCGCAGCCATGGACAAGACCTTGTTACGCAACACCATCCTGTCTAAAGTGACATCACATGACATCCAAGAGGTCCATCATAGCTTTGAGTATGAAGCGAAGCTCAATGTTGCTTGATATTTTCTGGCTTTTTTTTTTTCTTTCTTGTTTACAGTGCTCTGCTATTTACCGCTACTTAAACACATCCGTACAACACGTAGCTCAACGAGGTAGCCGCCAATAAGCTCCCTACGCTGCTTGAGCTGCCTCGGCTGTAGCTCGAGCTCGAGCTCCAAGTACCGCCTTGCCTACCGTGCTCGCATTCTCCTTGCCCAGCTCCGACGTGATCCATGATCCGATATCTGCCATGGCATCCAAGTTGATGCCCGTGTTCATGCCCAGAGTCTCCATGAAGTAGACCATGTTCTCCGTCGCAACGTTACCCGTGGCTCCAGGGCTGTAAGGGCATCCGCCCAGCCCGCCGACGCTGCTGTCAAACGTGCGGATACCGTGCTCAAGAGACACAGCAGTGTTTACCAGGGCCTGGCCATATGTGTCGTGAAAGTGCATCGCAATGTCCTCAGATCGGATGCCGGCAGCAGACATGCACTTGAGCAGGGCACCTGTCCGGGGCGCTGTGCCCATGCCCGTAGTATCACCAAGGGAGATCTCATCCGCTCCCGACTCCAGCAGATCCGTCGCAATTTCAGCAACCCTGTGAGGGTCAACGTCAAAGCCCTCAAAGGGACAGCCCAGGACGACAGAGATGTAGGCTCGGACCCGGAGACCCAAGGCCTTGGACTCTTGGATCACCTCCTTGAAACGATCCAAAGAGGTCTGGATATCGCAGTTGAGGTTCTTCTGAGAGAAGCTCTCGGTAGCAGCCGCAAAGACCGCCACTTCAACTGACGGCTGCGTGGCCTGCTCGGGTCCGGAAGCGGGCTCCTGCTGTGTTGCAAACTTGCCGGGGTTATCACCCAGAATCTTTGCAGCATTCTGCAGACCCTTGGCATTGGGAGCGAGGAAGGAATATGAGATCGGGACCGGCGACGGAATCTTTTGGTGAAGAAGATGCTCGAGAATCTCACTAGAATTGGCCATCTGCATCATCATCTGTTAGTTGACCGACGGATGTACGGCAAGCGACGTCATCAGAACATACCTGAGGAACCCATTTGGGAGCAACAAAAGAGCCGGCCTCAATGGTTGAAACTCCGGTCCGAGCCAGTCTCTCAATCAGCTCGATCTTGGTCGCCAGAGGAATCGTCTTCTTCTCGTTCTGCAGGCCATCGCGAGGTCCAACCTCGACCAGCTTGACACGGTTGTCGTATGAGGTGCCCGCGTTGGCTGTCGCAAAGCCTCTCTGCCAACGGAGCTGCCCTGAGCGCCGACACGCCCGGCAGATGCTGGATCGCAAAAGGCTCATGGTGAAGGTGGTCGTCGGCTTGTGCTTAACAAGTTTCGGTGGGTTCAATTGCAAGAGAGAGGAGGAGGCGAGGAGAAATGGTTTCGACGAGGCCGACGTCGACCCGCGTATCATCGGCTTCAGCGGGGGCCGAGCTCCAGCCCAGATCCCCTCGGTACAACCTACATCGCCGGCCGCTCCAAGCCATGAATGCATCTTTAGTACTTCTCCAGACAGTTCCTCAGTTCCCCGCATTCTGTTACTGTACGCTCTTGATGATTGGGCTAGGAACTACTACTGGGGCAATAAGGATTCCATTATCTTCATCCACTACAATACAATACTTGGCAAAGACTGGCTCTAGAGGGATGTGAATGATTAAGAGACGAGCATGCCGCGTGCGCGCAAGGTTCTCATCTACAGATTTGGTCTTTTGACATTAAAACTCATTTTGGCTTCTGACCGTTGAAAAATAGAAAATACACCTTCTCTATCGGTGACAGGCTAAAACTGGCTTTACAGTAGCAATCCAGTCCTCGCATCCGAAACCGCTTAGTACTCAGCCTCGAGCTCCTCCTCGCCGAGGGAGTCGGTGGCAACCTCCTCGTAATCGCGCTCCAGGGCAGCGAGATCCTCACGAGCCTCAGAGAACTCACCCTCCTCCATACCCTCACCAACATACCAGTGGACGAAGGCACGCTTGGAGTGCATGAGATCGAACTTGAGCGACAGGGAAGACCAGGCCTCGGCGATGGCGGTGGTGTTGGACAGCATGCAGCTGTTGCGTATTAGACATTATTCTAGCTTTCAAGGGAGCGGGATGACTTACACAGCGCGGCTGACCTTGGCGAGGTCGCCGTTGGGGACGTTCTCGGGAGCCTGGTAGCAGATACCGAGCTTGAAGCCAGTGGGGCACCAGTCGACGAACTGGATGGTTCGCTTGGTCTTGAGGGTGGCAACGGCGGCGTGGGCGTCGTTGGGGACAACGTCTCCGCGGTACAGCAGGCAGGTGGCCATGTACTTGCCGTGGCGGGGGTCACACTTGACCATCTGGTTGTTGGGCTCGAAGCAAGACATGGTCATCTCCTGGACCGAGTTGGCCTCGTGGGCAGCCTTGGCGGCCGAGATAACGGGAGCGTAGGCGACCAGAGGGAAGTGGATTCGGGGGTAGGGGACCAGGTTGGTCTGGAACTCGTTCAGGTCGACGTTGAGGGAACCGTCGAATCGGAGCGAGGCGGTGATGGAAGAGACGACTGTGTACAGTTAGCTAAGCTATGCCGAGAATTACAAATCATCAGATCCTACCCTGAGCAATGAGGCGGTTCAGGTTCTCGTAGTTGGGGCGCTCAAGACCGAGGTTTCGGCGGCAGATGTCGTAGATGGCCTCGTTGTCGACCATGAAGGAGCAGTCGGAGTGCTCAAGGGTGGTGTGGGTGGTCAGGATGGAGTTGTAGGGCTCGACGACAGAGGTGGCGGTCTGAGGAGCGGGATAAACGCAGAACTCGAGCTTGCTCTTCTTGCCGTAGTCGACGGACAGACGCTCCATGAGGAGAGCACCGAAACCAGAACCGGTACCACCACCGAAGGAGTGGAAGACGAGGAAGCCCTGGAGACCAACACAGTTGTCGGCAACGCGGCGGATCTTGTCGAGGACGCCATCGATGAGCTCCTTTCCGACGGTGTAGTGACCACGGGCGTAGTTGTTGGAAGCATCCTCCTTGCCAGTGATCATCATCTCGGGGTGGAAGAGGTTTCGGTAGGGACCGGTGCGGACCTCATCGACGACGTTGGGCTCGAGATCGCAGTAGATGGCGCGGGGGACATACTTGCCCTGACCTAGAAAGGGGGCATTAGATTGGAACTGGCAAACTCGGGGTATGAGGCCAAATTCGTACCAGTCTCGGAGAAGAAAGTGCTGAAGCCCTGGTCGGGGTCCTGAGCCTTTCGCTCCTCGGTGAGGTAACCATCAGGCTAGAGTTGTGGTCAGTATGGGTGTCGTCGTGTGTTTGTCAACAATGGAGGGGTCGTTTTGTACCTGGATGCCGTGCTCGAGGCAGTAAAGCTGAAAGAAAACAAATCAGTAATCGAGCATATCTCATTGTTTAGGGCAAAAACTCACCTCCCAGCAGGAGTTGGCGATCTGGCAACCGGCCTGGCCGACTGAAGTCGAAAGTTAGCATCACCAAGAAAAAAGGGGGGATGCGGTGAAAGCACGCGTGCGTTTGTGTGCGTGTGTGCGCGCTGCAAAGGGAGAGCTTACCGTTGATGCTAATGACCTCACGCATGATGGCAGATGGTAGTGGTTAAAAAAGTATGGGGATGGAGGATGTCGATGCAAAAGGGAAGAGGAGGTAAAGCAGAGGCACCACGACAAAAAAGAGTAGAGGTGGAAACGGAGACAGGCCAGGCAAGAAGGCTTTTACGACGGAGTTTCGGAGAGGATGAGAGCGAGGGCGTGCAGGCAGATTGGTTTGGTTTGGTGATGGCGGGCGGGCAACGGAACGGGGAGGGAGAAGAAAATAGGTGGGGGAAATTTGGCAGACAGGGGAGGCTTGCCGCCCTGGGATTTGTTGATTTCGAGGCGTGTCTTGAAGGGGGCAAGCGCGTCCTGCAACGCCCTGCTGGCGCTTCTCTTTGCTGCACCCCTGTTGGCTGGCAGCGCTGGTCTGCCCCCTAGGCTACTGGCCCGCCTAGACCTTCTCCAGCAGCTACCGTGGCTTCCCTGGACTCCCTGTGGCTCCCTGTGGCACTTGCTTGGTGCTCACCGCTCCAGGGCAGCTCAGGGCATGGACGGCAAATTGGTTCATTCATTGTTAAGCTGGCGGGGCGGGGCGGGGCCGCAGCCTGGAAGCTCTTCTCTCCATCATCCATCATGGCGCTCCTCTCGAATGACGATCCATGGGTCCATGTTTTTCTCTATCGCACGACACTCATCTTGGGTCAATTTCGGTTTCGGATATGATGATTGTGAGCAGCGGCCTACTACGTAGTAGTATATTACATGGACGAATGCCACGGGTAGATCAAGCCAGATACAGTCCCTGACTTGGCAGGCCTCGCTTGCACGCCTCAGCTGTCTTTTTCACTCTCCCACGGAAACCTCCATTAGTAAACTTCCCTTGTTTCCATCTCGCCCATGCCTGTCCATCTCCTCATCCCTGCCCGTTATCTCATGTACGTACCCGCTCCCGCTTTTGTTTTTCTGCCATGGACCACTCGAGCGCCTCGTGAACTATCCATGCCCCTCGTGTTCTATCCTCACAGTGATATTACTCCGAGTTATAAGGGGCAAGTCAACTTGAGAGAAATCTGAGAGCACCTCTGGGTCATGTCCCATCGTGGCCAATATCAGTCAATCAAGTCGGTGAGTTGGCCTGGACCAGCCTGGCCTGGCCTGTGACCTGTCAAATCCCATATGGCCCGAGCTTCGACGTCGGCCCAGGCTCCTTTCGTTCCAGTCCTCACTCACCCCTGGCTCGAGCCTCACTCTCTGATAACGTTAACCTCCAGCCAACCAGAACAACCTCCACCACAAGGCATCAACCCAATCGTTCTTACCATAGGGTATCATTGGATATATGGTGTTGTGCGTAGGTATGGCAACGATCAAAAGAAACGATGAGCTGCTGGATACACGCGTAAGGCTTGACCTGCGACCATAGCCGTCACCTGCCCTGGTTGCTGCAAGAAAGCTTCAATAGGATGGGTAGTTGTGATCCACATGGGTACCAAACCATGGACTCGGGACAGATGGCAATGCTTCACTTGGACTTGCCCTCGCCTGCCTCACGGCTTAGGTCACCGGCGTCTGGGGTCTGGGCAGGCTCGTTACTTCTCAGAATGATAACACCAGGCGGATAGGTAGGTAGGTAGTGGTATTACCACCTAGGTTGATAGAATAAGTACTGGCATTTCCAACTCTACCAATCCCAAACCCAAACATCACCATACTATCTCACAAACTTATTACATCATGCCTATCTCTCTAAACTGGAATCCTCTGGGCAATTGACTTGGTCGTCTCGTTTGGTGGCGCAGATGATGAACCCCTTGTTCCCTCACCAGCTTAGGCATTCCCAAGTTTCTCCAAGAACATCTTCGCAAGTTATACAACGTCGACCGCGTGCACTATCTTTATCCCTTTCTCTTCCTTGCATGGTCAAGGACAACTCCTCCCGAAAACACGCGCCCATTTACCATTGCCGGTGCGTTCGCGATCGGGGGGGGGGGGGTTCCAACCTACACGAGCAATGGTGCTCTGACAGATATCATGGGCCATGTCAAATAGCCGGCAGGTTAAGAAACGCCTTCAGAAGACTTGGTCCTCCTCATCGCCAACCACCTAGGTCCCCAGTGTATCGCCGTGTCCAAGAGCGGGGCCTGCCTACCCATGCATCGAATTTGCCAAAACGAGCGAAGATGAGTTCAAGCGGCTCGTCGAGAGTCTTCCTAAAACCACGTCCAATTCCATCGTGTATCACAACGGCCATATCAGCCATGAGCAGAGTGCCTATCTAACCAATAATTCAACCATGTTTTCTCGTCGAAGTCCATCGGTTCGAATATGCGACGCCATCAATTTAAGGTATCAAGTGTGGAAACCGGGGCAGACCATGCCTCTCGGCGAGGCCTGCGGCATGGTCAACTCTGACTACCTATCTCCTTCTGCGTACAATTTTTTACTCCATCAGCACATCGTGTGGGCTGATGACTTTGATGGTCTCCTTGAGGAGGGATGGAATGTTGAACAGGTACCGTAAGCTCTTACCTTGATTCAATCATCCTCTCAGTTAGAACAGCACGCAACAGCCATCATAGCCGAAGGGATGGATACTGTGATATCATCGAGACATTGCTACGAGCAAGAGAAATCTGGCTCATTCATATATCAGAAGCGGGTAGTCTCATAGAATAGAGTTGTAGAATGTCTATGTTGTCAGTGCATTACCCATCTCCCGGCTTGGATAAGTGTGTATGATGTGCATATTCTTGATTCTCCATTCTTGACCTGCCAAAACAGTAAGTCTCTCCTTAATTACCCAGCCAAACTATTGACCTGTATAGCTCTCTCAGTAACTGAGTTGTAGGTACTATAGCTGCTGAGGTCGAAACTAGGTACCGACTCGGCGGGGCGACAGGGCTCCACGTGACGCTTCAGACAACACGCCTCATCTCACAAGACACTTGACAAGGCCATGTAAACGTGGGTGGCCATCACTCAATGCCCTCGCGACCATGTTTTTACTAGCGCTGCGTCATCTTCTACCTATCTTAGGCCTCATCCTATTCCTTACGAGTTCCACAGAGGCCAACGCTGAAAAGGTCATCTTCACTGCTCCAGACGTTGTCCCCATCCCCCTACAGAAGCCCTCACTCGCCGACCTCAACCTCCCTGTCCTCACTCCCGACTCTTGGTCTATCAGGACAAATCTGAGTCGCGTGTTTCCCACGGAACCCAAGGACTATGCCTCTGGCGCTGCGACATGGCTACTGCTGGACAGCTTGAATGCAGGCCAGCGGTATGAGTTCAGGGTATGCTGGGCTGCGATTGTATGTCAAGAACCCCATCACTTAGATCTCAGGAAACTGATTCTCCCTTTTCTGTTACTTGTAGCAACCTACAGGTTTCGTGATGGACGTATATGAGCTGGATACTGTCTGGGGCACGCCAGAGCTCATGCAGTCGCTCGCCGACTTCGCCTACTCACGCCAGTCCAGTACTGACAGCCATGGGGATCGTGAGGAGGGAGAGCGTAGCGCCTCGGTTCTCTTGCTGCAGATTAAGGCCTCTGCGGATTACTTCACCGACGACGCGGCTCTCATGAGGGATCCTCCCCCCGTGCTCGTGGATCTCATTCTCGACCCCTATCTGTACAGTCTCATCCCTCGCTCACTGGTGCCAACCATTGGGTTCCTCGTCGTGGTTGGTCTGGTCGCCTGGTTCGTGGCCAGGTCCGTCGCCTCCAAGCTACAGTCAATCGCCGTTGCCGGCGAGAGCAGAGAAAAGAAAGAGATATAGAATAGAAGAGGGTTGCTTGCGTACTCGGACCCTGTGACCGATTATCCCATATGAAGAAAGAAAAGAAACGGACCCGGCAAATGCATTCTACTATCTACGTTGATCATCATATTTCTCGTAACTCTTCTCCATGTGTCACTCTCGTCCTCACCGCCCTTGGTTGGGCCATGGCGTCTATATCCCTGCCGATCGTCTCGACACATACTTTCATATCAAACATCCAGTCATCAGGTGCGAAGCGAGAGGAACGCACACTGAGGGTCTGGCTTGGCATAATCTCGCGATCTCTTGCCGATGAATACTCAAGTCATCCTTGCTGAGCCTAGGGAACTACAGCATGGTAGGCAGTAAATGTTGTGGATTTCCAAATTTCCTCAAAGGGCCGCTCAGTAGGCTCCTCCATATTGACCCGGGTGTGTTCCGTGTGGAACAGGGGGGGCACCACCACCATAAGAAGGCTGGCCTCCTTGGCCTCCGTTGTATGAGGGATTATATCCTCCAGGAGGACCTCCGGGAGGGGGAGGGGGATACTGCTGGTTTCCGGGAGCTGGAGGTGCACTGTAGGTCTGTTGATTTTGTCCATGTTGATCAGGAGGTCCTCCATACTGACCGCCAGCGGCCTGGGGGTTATTGGGATAGCCTTGTCCATATTGCTGCTGGTGCGGCGGCTGCGCAGTAGGAGGAGGAGGGAAGTATTGTGCCTGCTGCCCATGCTGCCCATGTTGTCCATGCTGTTGAGGCGGACCTCCTGGGGGTGGAGGAGGGAACGAGTTGTTCTGGGATCCATGCGGACTTCCACCATACTGAGAGTTGGAACCATACTGCTGCTGGTTCGGGCTAGCCTGTGAGCCATATGGTGGGTTAGCACCTGGCTGTTGATGCGAGCCGGGCTGCTGGTGAGATCCATAGGGAGGGTTCTCGCCTGGCTGTTGCGAGTGGGAGCCGTACGGTTGGTTCGATCCTGGGTGTTGTTGACCAGCTCCATATTGCGGGTTGGCTCCTGGCTGTTGCTGGTGCGAGCCATAAGGTGTGTTGGAACCAGACTGCTGTGGGTGAGAGCCGGGTTGCTGCTGATGCGAACCATAAGGGGCGTTCTGGCCGGGCTGTTGGTGTGAACCGTACGGAGAACTCTGACCCGGCTGTTGCTGATGAGAACCGTGTTGCTGGTTATGCTGTTGATGGTTAGGCGAGGGTGTTCCGTAGGGCTGCGATCCCGAAGGAGTCCCTGAGGGAGCAGATCCTGCTGAACCCGGGGGCTTATAAGTGGGAGCTTCGCCCGAGTAAGAGGAACCGCCGCCGCCACCACCCTGCTGCTGTTGCTGCGGTCCCGAGCTGTGATAGCCAAAGTTCTGGCCCTGCTGGATTCAGACAGTTAGTCTCACGACCGAGCGCATTCGAGGATGCGACAACTTACGCTGCTACCAGGCTTGCCACCAAACATATGAGCAACACCACCCATGACAGTACCAGCAAGACCTCCCTGAGAGTGGTGAGAGTTCTGCTGGTTGGCGTTGCCATGGTAGTTCTGCGGAGCGGGAGGCTTCTCCTGAGAGGCCGAGTTCATGAAGCTCGAAGCCAGCTGTCCGACGAGCTTTCCAGCACCAGATTGCTTGCCTCCTCCGCTTCCACCGCTTCCGCCATGAGAACCACCAAGGAATTGGCTCGCAAGACCGCCAAGGTTGCCTGAAGAACCGGAGCCGTGGCCTCCACCACTGCCGCCGCCGCTTCCACCATGAGAGCCACCGAGGAATTGGCTTGCGAGACCGCCGAGGTTACCCAGGGGACTGGGGCCGTGACCTCCACTGCTACCGCCGCCGTGAGACGAGTTCTTGTTGCCGCCGAGCAGAGCGTTCATAGCCATACTCTAGAAAGAAAATGGTCAGCAAACCGCAAGCATAGAACCAACGCGCCACGACCTACCCCAATACCCCGGTCTCCAGATGGGCCGTCAACACCGCGTGTTCCGTCGGGCATGATGGGCTCCATGGTGCCATCGGCATGGCGCATCGTCTGCGACCCGTCCGGGTGGGTGATGAGCTCCGGCTGCTGCTTGGGAGCGCCGTAGGGGTGCTCGATTTGGGGCGCCGGAGTGTTGCCTGTCTTGGCCGGTTCAGTGGGGACCTCCCACTGAGAGACTCCGGTCGAGAGTTGAACATAGTAGTACTTCTTGCTCGCGCCATCCCACTGAGCAATCCAGCCGGCGGGCAGCGGAGGCGGAGCAAACGTGGGACCTTCGGCCTGGGGGGAGGCAGGACCAGCCATGGTCGAGGTCTGGCGGTCGAGGAGGTTATCGAAGCGAGGAGGGGCTGGCTGGGATGGTGTTTCTACCTATGAGTAGGAAGGATGTAGGTCGCCGCGCGAGGAGGGATTGTCGTGTAGACGGAAATTCCGTCACTGAGAAAGAAGCGCCACAATCATGAGGGTTTGCAGCAAGAGGGCGGGAAAGTAGCAAGAGAAGAGGTTTGGATGGTGTCGCCTTGGGTGGTGGAGGTTATAAGGCTGGAGGGGGAGGGGCCCAAGAATGGATGGGGAACGGATGGATGAATGGCGGGATGGGGATGGATGGGGGAAGGCCAGGCCAGGCCAGGCCAGCGCAAGGAAAGTGGGTTGCTCTCGCGCTCGCGGGCGGGCGGTCAAATGATGAATCAGGCGCTGTTCCAGTGATTTACAGCACACCTAGTGATGGGCCCTGGCATGGCGCTGATGGGCGGGCATCTCCAAGGTTGAGCTGAGCTGTGAACGAGGCATGGAGCGGATAGCTAGGACGTTTTGGGGGAAGGCTATGCGCCTCCATGTTGATGTATCGTGCCGTTTGCTCCGGGAGAGGCAAATAGTATCTACACACATACGTATTAACCTGACAGTTTGTACAGTTTGTGCCGATTACCAGCTGTCTCATCTCATCACCAGAGTCGTTTTGGGACCCTGACTCCGACACAGCCCCCGCCGCCGTCGTCCACCGCTGAGGGTTGGGTTGGGTTCGTAGTTAGACGACGAGACCTAGAGGGAGGGGGACCCTTTGTGCTACGTGTACCGTGTGTCACACTGTTCAAACCCGCCACTCAGAGTCACAATTGGCGCCGAAATTCGTTGCTGCCCAATGGCCAGCTCATCGGATGAGGCAATGCGCACTGTGGATGGAGATGGGCCTGCTGTTGGCCAACGAGGGGTGACCTTTTCTTCGCAAATTGGAGACTTGCTTGGGAGCGGTCAAAATAAGACATGCGCCTCGCAACTACAACTTCCACTGCAGACGCGTTGATATTTATATCTACTCCCTTCTCGACCAGGTGCAGGTACACACACCCCTTGCCCTTGATGTCCGCGTCTCCCCAAGAATGAGCCACCCAGAGAAACTACCTCAGCCCCCCATCTTACTCGGCTCTCTCACTCTCACTTAACTAGCAGCAACGACAAAGCGGCCTCCAGCCTCCTTATTCCGTGTGACGCGGGCTGCCTCCTTCAAATCCTTTCCTCTTACCCTCGCTCTGACTGCGTCTCTGGCTCTGCCACCAACGACCGTTCATCAACATATGCGCTCCGCCACTGACGACGACCTCTATCTGCAGGACAAAGGGGAGCATCACGTGCTGTCCTGTGCCGTTCCTTTGCTCCAGCATCCTGGCTACCACATGCCTACCTGGCACTCCAGTAAGGACAAAGCCAATCGTGTCAAAGGGGCAAAGGCCAGTATGTATCTTTGTTCTGCATCAACAAACTCAAACTCTATTTCACTTGTATCTTCTTTCTCTTCTACAATCTGCAAGTTCAAACAAGTCGCACCAGTCACTGCACATCTAAACAAGTGTTGAAAGTATCCATAAGTTGAATTCATGTCCTGTATACCTCCGTGATCCTGTCATGTACAAAGAATGACCAAAAACTCCCCGTGTTCCTCCGTGTTCCGTACCGTACCGTTAAATGCAGGATATGTACCGTTTTGGCCTTGCCCAGGCCATGGCTCAAAAGCCAGTGTCCCCATTTTTCATGTTCATCATGAGCTGAAACTCATGAGTGCCTATGTGCTTGGTCCCACGGAGTTGGCTCTTTACGCCCGGCGGGCACGGAGAGCAAGCTTGCGGCCAAAGCCCCAAGCGAAAGCCATGGCCTTGCTGCCGGAGCAGGTAGTGCCAGAGGCCATGGACTGGACAACAGACCATCGGCCAGAAGCGCAGCGCTGGTACTTGGAGCCACCAATGCAGTTCCACTCACCCTCTGAGGTACAGGCAGTTCCGGCAGTGTGAGCCTCGCCGGAGCCGGAGCCAGAGTCGGAGCCACCATCACCAGAGCCGGAGCTAGGGGTAGCAGGAACTGTGGGAGCGGCCTCGGGGGTACCGGCAGGGGTGGTAGGCACGGGCTCGGGCTGGACAACGCTGGTGGGCATGGGCTCGTTACCAGTTCCGGGAGCGGACTTGGTGAGGGTCATCATGGTGTCAGTGGGAGCAGCGACAGGAGCCTCGGTGCCCTCGGCGGGAGGGGAGACGGTGATGAAGACACCTCCGGGACTAGACATGGGTGAGTCAGGGCCTTCTTCAACATCATCAGAGCATACATACACTTGAGAGGGAGCACCACCGGCGGGGGCAGAAGACTCGACAGCGGGCTGAGTAGGCTCAGCAGCAGGTTGAGAAGGCTCAGCGGCGGGCTGGGTCTGGGTAGGAGCGGAAACGGGAGCAGAGCTGGGGGCACCGGAGCCGTTGTCAGCAGGGGAGCTGGGGACAGCACCGTTGTTTCCGTTGCCGCTGCCAACATCACCAGCGGGGGAGCTGGGAGTGGCACCGCTGTCGCCGCCAGAAGAGCCACCACCGGAGCCGGAGCTGGAGGCGCAGCTACCCTTGGGAGGAGCAGTCTTGGACGAGTCGTTGGAGGTATCCGGACCAGGGTCGGGAAACTCAAGGTCGGAACCCTCCTCAGTGCTGCAACCGTTGTTGACGTTGGCGACGAACATGGAAGGGCGGCTGCTGAGAGCAGAGGCGCGCTTCTTGGAAGATCCTCCACCGATGGTGACAGCGGCGCAGTTCATGTACATCTCACGGTTGCCGATCTGGTTGAACCAAGTCCAGGCAAAGATGGCCTCGCCGGAGGGGGTGTCGGCGGGAACCTTGAAGTCGTAGCTGGTAGTGCCAGCTCCGGGGCAGTTACCGACGTACGAGTGGATGACCTTCCAGGTCTCGCCCTTGTCGAAAGACAGAGAGGCCTGGCAGCTACCGCCACCGTGGTTGGCACCGCCGGTGATGGTCATACTGTAAGAGCCGCCGGCCTTCCAGTCAGCAACAGAAGCGCCAGCTGGGGTGCCGAAGAGAGAGTGGTAGCCCTTGCAAGGGAAGTTGCCGCCGCCGGCCTCGAGAGGAGCAGTCATGCTGTAGTCGACATCTCCGTTGGCGTGGGGGTTGGCCTTGGACTTGAAGGGGGGAGGGCTGGTCATCTCCATGTGAGCCTGGGCCAGACCGGCGAGCCCAAGGGCGAGAGCGGCGGATTCGATACCGAAGAACTTCATGTTTGCGTTGTTGGTGGTTGTTGTTGAAAAGAAGAACTGATCACAACACTTCCGTCGAGGAGGTGATGAGAATAGGGTATCTGTTGAAATGAGGAAGAAAACGTTGGCTGTGCTGACGCCAAGTATTCGCTGAGAATGTTGTGGAAGGAGTGTGTTCCTTGGGTTATACGAGTGTCTGATGCGGAGGGAGTGTGTTGTTTGGCTTCAGCCGCAGAGAAGGTGATGTTTTATATCGAGCCCGGCTCGTTGGGTTGTTTCGAAATGACGTCGAAGTGGTTGGTGTGATTGTCCAGGTGAACAAGAGAGTGAATTCAGACGGACCGACGAGGTGGGTTTTCTATTGTAGTTCGAGGTGTGTGCGTGTTGCGTTCAAAGTTGGACGGAACAATAAAAAAAGGATTGTGGTGCTATTCAAAGCAAGGAATGTAGCGCGAGACAATGAAAAGAAGTTGCCTTTGCGGAACAAAAGAGGTGAGAAGAATCTGAGGTGTGTGTGAGGGGGGTGTGAATGCTTCCTGAACAGTGACGAACAGTGACAGAACAGAATCGGTCTTGTTTCTCAAAACAGGGGTCGCAGAGCTTGAGTGACACAAAGGCCGAGCTTGTGCGTCAGTGATTCAATGAAGCAAGTTTGAAGTGAAGAAAAAAAAGTTGACCAGCCTCCGTTACAAACGGTGAAAAAAAGGGTCAAGAAAGTGAAGAAGTGAAGTTGAAGTTGGTTTTGTTGTCTTGAAAAAGGGAATGTATCCGGCCCACGAGGGGAAAAGTTCAAGAAGAAGAAGAAAGAAGAAAGAAAACCCGAAGAGATCGGCCTGTAGAATGAATTCCTTAGCAGTGCTGGGGGATAGAACAGAAAGAAAAGGCCATCGGGAGGTCGGGGGTTGGGTCACGTCTTATAGTCTTTGAGAGCCAGAGACGGGCTGGCGATGTTTCAGTTGTTTCGTTTGGGCTGCCACCCCCCCTAAACGCTAGGAATTACTACTACAATGCACCTAGTCATTGACAAGAGAGAGAGAGGCCTCGAGCAAGGCATGGGCGTCTCCTGAATCGCAGCGCGGCAAAAGGCCAAGCAAGCTAGTCGCTGTCGTCGCTCCGGGTCCCTGGTAGCATCCCCACCAAAGGGCGACAGATCATACAAACAAAACCACTCACACCCAGAGTGATCGACGAAGGGGTGAGAGAGAGAGCATGTCATCCATGATCCTGGGCCTTGATCCTCTTTGCGAGTCAAGGCTAGGTCAAAGGTGAGAGGGTTCGTAGAAAGTCGACTGGCGGTGGATGCGTCTCGACTGTGGGCGTCTATGTCGCATGCGCGTGGATCTCCCCTGGATGGTTGGTCGGCGCCTAACAGAATTTGACTTACAAGAGTTGCTACGGTGAGGATTAAGAATACGTAAATACACCTGCCTTTTGTGAACTTGAGTGAGTTTCAAAATGATTGCAATGACTGATGGCATCCTCCACATCCTCTCCCTTCATGACCTTTGTCAGTACGAAGTACATGGATGGGAATCTTTGTTCCTCTCCATGTGATGCTTGGCCGTCGAAGAAGAAGAAAAAAGGTGGACCCCCTCACCGAACGGCCGAGGCAGGCGCCGGACCCAGAATCCGAAACTGATGGTTCTTTTTTCCCCACACACACACACACTTACGAAGAACCACGGACGGAACGACAATCGGGTTCGGATGCCACCTCGGCTGCTCTGCTACGCACGTACCTTGAGGAGATGGAGATGCCGAACAAAGGGACGATGACCTGATACACCGTCTCCTTTTTTTCGATCTCGTCAATCTCATTTGGCATTTCTCTTCTGTGCCGTGCTTTGTATACCTTGTGATGGGATGTGTAATGTGATACCATATGACACAACCCGTCTCAGTAATCCCATGTCTCGATCTCTAGAGAAACAATCCAGTCTCATCCAAAACAAGACAACTTGGCATGAACAAACAATAAGCAGTCGCAAGTCCAAGTCATCGTAGCCAAATAACTGGCTCACCGTGGCTGGTTCAGCAACTCTTTTTTTTCCCGCGTTCCAGGGGACCGACCCCGAAAAAAGAAAAGAGGCTGAAGCAGGTCGAGACGTGACGGGCCACGTCCTCCTCGTCCAATCACACCCCGGAGAACCCCTGGCGCTTGAAACGCCACCCGCGGGCAATGCATTGATTGGGGACCTGTACCTGAGTTGAAACGCGCGATCGTCTGCAAGCCTCAAAAAGGGAGACGAGGGGAGAGAAATGCAGGAGTGAAAAAGGCTTGTCATGGAAATCCGACAAAGGAAGGAGAATATCTTCCAATGACGGGGATTCATTCTTCATTACCTCATGCCAACTGAACATTAGATTGACGAGGTAGAAAAAGTTCCCGGTGGTGATCCTTGGCCATTACCAGGTTCCCCCTGAGGCAAACTAGAGAGTCAACTCCCTAACAGAGGTGCCAAGTCCGAAGGCGTGTGTCACGTATTTAGCAGGGATATATCAGAGTTGTATTAAGGCTCTTGCACGTGAAGTTTTTCAGCACTTGTCGTCGTCGTTATTGTCCGTCGCAAATCCGGTCCAGCTAGTGTTGACGGTCAATGTCTCTGGGCGGGGATACACGTGAGTCAATGAGTGAAAGAGTGTCAGTGTGCAACCACTCAATAGTTCAATGAAAAGTTGGTCGGACGAATCAGAGACATTGGATGACAAGACTTGGGTCGAGAATGTCAAGGGAGGACTGCGACCAGGTGGCCTCGATGGCACGTTTCGTGGCTAACGGAGGCGCCGTGAGAACATCCATCACGCGGGGTGTGTCTTGGCTTCCAGAGAGAATGCTAAAGTGCTCACATGTACAGTAAAAAAGACAAGTTTCGAGTCACGGCATGGAATGGAATGAAACAATGTCAGCAATAGAAGGAATCAAGTAAGCCAGTCCATGAGCCTACCCTGCGTCGTCAAACGCCGTCGTCGTTGACATGCGTTTCATGCCAGCGAACCAGAATCCAAACACAGCATCATCGTCATCGTATGCGCTGTCGCAAACTGCACTGTCTAGCAGCGATACCGATCCTCCTTGCTTCCGCAGGAGAAACCCCAGATCCAAGACCATTCTCTATTGATTCCACACACTCTTTATTCCCCTATGCCGATTCGTTCGGAAGGATGAGATGGATGATCATCTTGGCTAGTGTCAGGGCCCCTCTCCAGTCTTGGCGGGCACCCACCAACAGGAACAGTCTTTGACGCCGCAACCGCCTTTTCAACGGTCGTGAGAAAAGCCAAGATCTTGGGTAGAGACACCATCTGGCCCTAGCGCCACTTCACACTAACAATGACATTCGCCCATCAACTAACCTAGACCATCATGACTGACAAGACTCTCGCCATCAAAGAAAGAGTCATTTATTTAACCATGTCACTAACTAACTAACTAGAACCACATGGCAGTTCCGAGCCGTTCTTTATTCCACAGTTTTGACTTTTTGTAGAATATTCTTTCAAAGACTGGAAGCCACATTAATTGACTCGAGTTTCACCACCTGACTCTCTGCTCAATGTTTCGTGCCTGACTTGGATCCCTCATCCCTACAGTATTGCACATCTATCATCCATCAATCATACCCTCCTGTTTCTTCTGGTGGCGTGAGTTCCCACCCTCCCTCTTCTTCTCCAGCCGCGCGTGTATGCGTACCGTACCTGGCGGTGGTGTATGCGACATGCGTCCTCTATATGTGAGATCCGTAAATAGGCAGGCAACCTGAACCAGGAACCCGAGGGCGCATGACGCCGCTGATCGTACGGTGCACATTGCGTGAGTGAATCCCCTCTCTCGGCGCCAAACTCGCTACCTAGCCAATCTCTTGCCCTAAGATGCCCTCATGCAAGCCATCCATCTCCATTCCATGCCATGCCTGGCTTCCCGCCCAGGCACAAGCACGTCTACCGAGTGCCGTCGATTAAATCTCTCAACCCTGACTCGTCCGTCTTCTTCTCTTCTTTGTCCCGCTCTGCCGCGAACCCCTCATGCCCCTCTGCCCCTCTGCCGCTACAAGACATGACCAAACTCGCCTCTGGCCACTCACGACTCGACACTCCGTCATCTCCTCTTGGCGCTGGCCTGGCCTGCTTCGACTTCTCCGGCCTTGATCCGGCCCACGACGATCGACCCGCCCGGCCATGTCACCCTCCCTTCCGCGGACGCCGGCCTCTGCGACTGTTGCTGTTCCAGAGTGCGGATCCCCTGACATGAGCTTGGACTCGTTCATCCCTTACCCTCCCTCCACCCACCCATCAAAGCCCTTACCACTGCCACAACCAGAGCCACCTGAAGCATTCGTCCAAGCCTTCTCCAAGCCTTCTTTCTGTCAATGCAATCAATGCCTGCCTGCCTGCCTGACCGCATTGACCATCACCCTGAATCTATACTCCATCCATCTTCATGCATCTCATCTACATCACAACCATATGCCCCATGCGTCCTCCCGTGAAACGAAACATACGTATGTACACTTTGTACTTCTCTCTTTTTGCTATTTGCCTAGTAGGCCTATGCTGTGAGCTATCGACGCTTCGACTTGCTAAATGCCTCGCCCTGATGCATGACTCGACTCGCTTCCATGAATGCTTTGCCTCAACTTGGTCTTGCAGGATCCAACACCTCCTGATCCCCCTTTGGCTCCGCTCCTCACAAGACACCCTCCTTGCCTTTTCAAACCCCTCCAGGACCACCACCGCTATCACATACTTTTCGAAATTCCCAAAACAATACCCTTCGTAGGTAGCTCTCCGGCTGCCTCTGTCATGACATGCTGATCCCTTCATCACCCTGCCTCGACACCAAAGACCCACCGGGAACGAGTCCTGTAGCTTGGGCTTCGAGCCTGGTAGCACACATCTGACATCGGCACTTGATGCTGTGTCCCGACCTAGGTCATCTTCGCCCCGTACACACCTCGAGACCTCATCTTGGCATCCCCGCTCGACCTTGCTGGCTGTCATTCATCCATTCAGTCTGTCCGACATCGCTTCTCCTCGGCCTCGCCGTCCACAGACACAAAGTGTCCGCCGTCAAGACTTGATGGCGCGTCTGCCTCTTGCCACCTGCTTGCTCCGGCGCAGCCAATGGTCGTCGCTGATCCTGGCGCCGTCCAATTGGCGCGACATCGGTAGAGAGAAATACTTCTGTGTCATAGAGACACCTTCGCGACACCTTCAGGCCTGGCATCTCCCAGACCACTCCACTATAAGCGACCCAACGGCTCACCTGCTAACCCAAATGCCTAGGCGGCCCGAGCCTCAGGCCTCATCCTGTCTAAGCTGATAGTTGTGCGACTCTGTACGAATGCCCCATACTGCAACTTGTATGCAATGATTCGCACGTTTCGCTGTCGTGTCACTGCAGTTCAGACCCTGAGATAGATGTGCTTGAAAAGTCTATCTCGGCGAGGTCGCCGCTCGGAAAGGCCGTGCTAGAGATGCTTCATTGTATGCTAAGAGGGGGGCTGATGATAGTTCGCATCACCTCCTTATTTGGCCTCATTCGACCCCTCAGCAGGTCGACCTTGGTTCGCGGCTGGCACCGCATGGTTGGGCTGGGGCGTCTGATGAGGTCCTGGGCCCGCATAGCCCTTGTTGTAGCTGGTGCTGCCGCTTCGGTGTTGAGGGCCATATTGGTGTCCCTGCTGAGGGCTGGTTCCAAAATGTTGAGGCCCAGGGCTGCCGTAGCCCCCTCTCACTGCACTAGGGTTAGCGCTCGTTAATCCGCTGCTCCTATAAGAATCCCCGAGTTGCTACTTACTTGGTCCGCCTTGCTGGCCTGGGTTAAAGACCGGCTGGTTATACTGGACATTGGGACTCATGCCATACATGGGCTGTCCCTGCTGCGAGCCCTGGTGCGCCATCATCGGCGCCGCGGGACGTCCGGGGCTGGGATATCCGTTGACGCCGGGGACCGGCTGAGGTCCAGATGGAGGCATGAATTGAGGGTGGCCGCCGGGATACATCATCTGCGGACCGGGAACCATTCCCTGCGGCCCAGGTATGAACTGCGGCTGCATCATCATGGGGCCTCCCATCTGGCCTTGCTGAGGGGACATGTACTGGGGGTTGTTGGAGAAGCTACGGAACTGTCCCATCTGCGGCGTCCCAGGCATAAAGACGGGTTGGTTGTAGGGCACCTGTGCTGGCGAGTTGTAGGCGACAGGCACATTGCCGAGGCGGGGTGAGGCGAATGACTGAGCCGAGTTTGAATGCATCATCCTATGATCGTCGTTACCGTACTGCGGGTGAGGCACGGGGCCATGCTGCGGTGTGTGCATCTGCATAGGTGGCATGTGGGGTGATCCTCTGGGGGCCATGTTGTGCGCGCCCTGCTGGAGATGGAAAGGTAGCTGGTGCTGGTGAGGCATCTGAGGAACGACATGCTGCGGGTTGGGAGTGGCTAGCGCAGGTCCGTTAAAAGGCTGGCGCTCGAAATACTCCTTGTAGTTGAGATGCATCGTGGAATCAGGCTTCTCGTCGTCCTGAAGCTGTCGCCATGTAGGCAAAGTGTCATAGGCGGGACGAAGACCACCGTTGTCATCCCAGTTGCGACCCGGAGGGGGAGTAAAGGTCTGGATGTGTGAGAGGATGTAGCACTTCTTGACATCAATAGCCTTGGTCTTCCGGCGAATGAGCTGACCGGGGGCAGCGACATTGCTGGCCGACGCCTCAACGTGGTTAACAGAAGATCGGGGGCTCGAGCCAGCGCTGGGATGTCCGTTCGGGTTGAAAGCCGCAGCAAACGGGCTAGGTCTGAACTCGTGGCTGTTGGGGTTCAACTTGGCACCCATGTGGCCAGGAGCACCGCTGAGGCGTCGATTGTAGTCAGAGCTGACGCCGCTGGCGGGTCCGGTAGGAGGAGCGCGGATCTCCTGGCCAGGGACATGAGGCTGGTGGGGAGCCGAAGCCTGAGAATATTTCTGCTGCTCAACGTTACGGAGTCGCTGCGCTAGCATGCCGGTCTGCTGCTGCTGGGGAACATGAGGTCCTCCACGGTTGTTTCGGTACTGCTGCGCATGGTACTGCTGTTGGGGATATTGTTGACGAGCTCCGGGATGACGACCTTGACCTCCAGCAGGAGGAGTAGCCTGAGTACCGGTAGCAGGGCGAGAGGATCTGTTGTCGTTGGAAGGGCCAGATGTCGCAGAAGCAGCAGCTGGCGCACCTTGTCCCGCAGGCTTAGCCTGCGCATCCTTCGATGGAGAGGTCTTGTCCTTCGTCGCAGCCTCGGCCTTGGCCTTGGCAACGTCTTCGGCATTCTTAATCGCCTTGGCCTGAATCTCCTTCTGCTTGACCGGGTCCTTGGCGATAATGGAGACCAAATCCGTGGGCACGGGGGTGGAAAGCTTGAAGGAGCTGGCGAACTTCTTCAACTCGGTCAACTTGACCTCCTTGTCTGCTTTTGCCTTATTGCTTCGTGCTTTCTCGGCATTCTGGCGCTGTTGGCTAGCAAACGACTTGAACTCCTTGAGCACGTCATGTTCGACCGTGGAGGTTGCGCTGGGGGCGGCAGCGCCGGCGACGGCGCCGCTGGCGGAGGGTCTCAGAGCAGCATTAGTCTTGTCAACAGACTTCGTCTCTGTCGCCTTGCCATTGGCGGGCTGAGCAGCGGGCTTGGGTGAGTTAGCCGGAGCCTCAGCAGGCTTGGCTTCGGCAGGAACTTTCTGAGCATCGACCTTGGGCGCCGACACATTCTTGTTCGCATCAGGAGTCTGAGGCTTCGGCTCCTCGGGCACTGGGGTAGGCTGCTTCTTGGCAGGCGCTTTGATCTGTGAAGAGATAATGGCAGGATCGACAGGGGCACCCTTGACAGTGGACTGAGCTGTGGGTGCTCGCTTTGCGGGTGGAGTGTATTTGTTCTCACGTCCAGACAGAGGTGGAAAATCCTGTCGGCGGACACCGCTGTACCTGCAGGGAAAGATGTCAGCAAATCGCAGACGATTTCGTTAAGGAGAACACGAACTTGTCCTCTTCATCCCCTCCATCATCACCACCAACATAGTCCATGATACGCTCCTCGGCCACGTGAGCAGTAGTGGGTGCGCTGCGCTCAATCTCTCGGGCCTTTCTGTCCGCAGCGGCTATCCGCTCCCTGTATTGAGGATGGCTCTTGTTGATAGCGGTGGTGTAAATGTTTTCGTCGTAGTCTGTCGTGAGGCCGAACAGTCTCTCGTTCTCGGCGAACTGATCCCAACCTGCGTTGTTGCCGGACCTTTCGAGGCTACCATTAACTGCGTCGTTTGTGTCGGGAACCCAAGGCTGGAGAACTCGTTCATTGCCGAAACGGTTGTTAGAAATAGCTGAATCGGTTCGGAAAGATGCACGGTTTCCTGATCAGAAAATGTCAGATGGCTAGCTCACGAGGCAGCGCTGAACCACAAACCATTCTGTTTCCCACCGGGACCGCCACCAGCTATTCCATCCTTCTTCGTGACAGGCATGTTGGAAACGCTCTTGTCGTTACGAGGTTTGTTAAAGGAGTGTTGGGATATCTTCGCCTCGGCCACCATTCAGGTAGCTACAACAGAGCCTTGCGTGGCGATCAAGGTTGATGATCGACGTCTCGTGGGAGGTTCGCAAACGCAGCTTCTCGACTCTGTAGGAATGGTGTGTCAGTCCCCAGAATGCAAGAGTCGGGCGATGCAGGTCCAACGGGCAAGCTTAGGAAGGTAGAGGCCACGTCCAAAGCTCATGACGTGACCGCTGTGGATTGTCCGACAACCGTGGGGCTTGGGGCAGTTGATAAGGGGCATGGGGAAATAAGCTGGACGTATGATGGGGATTGTGATTCAAGACAGGCTTACCTCGTGATGGCGGCCAGGACGGTGGGTGCAACGACGAAGGGCTGCGTTGGTTGGAGAAGTCGGTTAGATTTCGGTGGGCGAGAACGGCAAAGCTATGTTGGCCAGCAGCTCACTCAAGCTGAGTCTGCGCAGATCAGTCAGTGCCTGCATCCACAAGCTGAAGACGCCTCTTTAAACGGCCACGCTTGAAGACTGCAAATTCCACAGAGTGTACTCAGTGCAGTTTCAAGGGGAGAAGAAAAAAGGTTTCGGAAAGGAGGGTGTGAGTATGGCGGGCGGGTGAGGAGGAAGAATGCGGCCGAGGAGCTGCGTCTGAAAGAGGGAACTGTCGAAGGGCGAGAACGGGGGGCAAGCGATTTACCTCGCGGGGGGGTTCACAAGGTCGATCGATAGGAAATCCAGACAAGATGGTCTGGGGCGGTTCGTCCAGCTCGGGCGCTGTTACGATTGCCTCGCAATGGGCAACAAGAGCATGGAGCGGGAGGCTGAGGCTGGAGACGAGGAAGTGAGCCGTGGCGGGAGGAAGAGTCGAGGTCGAGGTTTTGGCGGTAGTGGGAGGGAGGTGGTGGTTGAGGCTTTGTTTTCTCCCGAAAGTTAGTGACGAGGAGTCAATCCCCTGTCCGGTCCCGTCGTTTCCCTGAGTCCTCTGGGCTGGGCTTGTTGGTACCTACAAGTACGGTACAGTGCTGCGCTGTTACCAGGTAACTAAGTAGACCACGGCCGCAGACGGGGGTTTTTGATGGGGCTAGCGAGAGGAGGAACCGAATAAAGTGCGGTCCACGGTCCCCGGACGAGCTTGTAACAGAGAGTCCGTCTCTTTGTGTGTGTGTGTGGCCTGTGGGAGAATGACAGTGTGCGCGTGTGTGTTTCTGAAAAAGTGTGGGCCTTCATCAACCAGAGTGGCCTTTGCAGCCCTTGTCCAGTCTTCTCTGAGTGTTCCCTCAGAATTCCCTTGACTCTTCACCAGCCAGGGCAGGCCCATGGACAGCCAATCATGTGCCTTGCGGAGACGGCGCTCTACAGTGCGAGACCCTCCGTTTGCCCCGGCCCGGCTCGCCGTCCGCCCCTGGTAGTGGTCAGAACAATTAAGGGTCGTCCGCGCGCACTCTAGCAGGGCGTTGCTGGGGCAGTTCTGGGGCACCTCAGCGCTGAAGGTTTCACCAGAAATAAACACAGTGCCTGCTGGCTGTTTGCACTCGCCTCGCGACCACGAGTTCCCTATTCGGAAATAACCTCTACTGGCAGCTGATTCAACGGGCTCGCAGCGCAGACGGGACAAAAACATTCACTGCCCATCTGTGGCCGACGTGGTCAGATCAGGACGGCAGAAGAAGCTGCATTCTCGTAATGGCGCAGCAGAGGTGGTACAACTGTCACGCCCCACGAATACGATGCTGACTCTGCAAGTTTGGGCGGGACAAGCCTTGCTCATGATGAGATGACTGGCCAGGAGCCGATACATCTTCACCGGTTCTAGCTTCGGCCTGAATCTGAATCTGCTCTGCAAGCGTAACTGCAAGTAGGTACCCCAGGTAACCAGAACCAGGGGAAATGAGGCTGAAAGGTGCATCCGTTTTCAGCCCAACGTACGGGCATCATGCAGGTCTTGTAAATTTGAGGTTGAAACAACAACTCCCATTGTCCAACAACGACCTTGTCGGCAGAGAGGGGCAAACGGGCCATGAAACAACAAACTCCCACCTCAATAAACAATCACTGTCGACATTGCTAAGCCGAATTGTGATATGCTCCGCATTCACTGATGCATATCTGCATGTCACTGACACATAGGACGGGCAACTACTGGCCTCGAGTTCATTCATGAACCCGCCCAGTGCCTTCGCCCACCACAGCTCATCAACACGAACCAAGCGCGGACGTATGATGTGGACCAAAAGGATTTCTACTACAAATATTGACAAAGAGGACATCCTCTCCTCCAACTCTTCTAAACTCTGACTGTTGGTACAAGCTTTTCTCTCTCTTGGACCCCTCTCTATACCCGGAGACCAATCTCCTCAGCATAAGGCAGCACGAACAGGTCGCCGACAGTGGAGACGGTGGCCTTGCCCTCAAGGAGAGACTTGGCAGTCTGTAGACATGAGTGTTAGTCGATTTTTCTAGGGAACAAATCTTGGATAGTCTTACGGTCTTGAGAGCCTCGGCAGAGACGCCCTCAATAGCCTTGGCAAGGCTGGCAGAGTCGTAGGGCTTGCCGCTGTTGACGATAGCAGAGCCGGCCTGGACGATGCTGGTTTGTCGGAGCTGGTTGGCGTTCAGGGCGGTGAACTTGGCGTTGGCAACAGCCTTTTTGACATCCTCCTGGCTGACGTTGCCGCTAGCGATGCTCTGGAGAACCTTGACGGTCTCCTCGGCGCCCTTGCGGACGGAGGCGGCGGCACCGGTAAGCTGGATGGCCAGAAGGCCGGCGTCGGAGTAGGTGAGGTTGGAGGTGTTGACCGTGAGGCCAGAGGTGCCGGCGGTGGCCTTGGAGAGGAGGCTGAAGCCAGGAGCCCACTTGATGGTGGACTGGCCGCCGAGGAGGGAGGCGAGAACGGCAATCTCAGGCTTGGCAGAGTCGGCGCCAGAGCCGGGGAAAGCAATGACGACGGAGTTTCCGGCGCTGCTGCTCGTTCGCTGCTCACCACCAAAGTACTTGCTGGCCTCGGTCTTGAGGGTCTGGCCGCTTCGGGGGGCCGCAGGGACGTCCTTGAAGAATTGGCCAACCCACTTGGAGAGGGTGTCGGGGGCGGCACCGTCGGCGACGAGGGCGATGTTGGGCTTGGAGTAGACAACGTCGGCGAAGCTGGCAATGTACTCCTCGTTCAGGTACTTCTGGTAGGGAGTCGAAGAACCGGGGTAGAGGGAGGAACCGAGACCAGTGTGGAAGGCGACGGCGTGGGCGTTATCGAGGGCAACGGCGGCGGCATCGGCGTTGAGAGCGGCCTGCTTGGCGTGGAGGACACGCTCGACATCCTCGTGGAACTCGTGGGCTGGATAGGCGTGTCAACTCGGTCGAAGCAGCAAGGCTGACTGCAATTGGTTTGGTTTCACTCACTGGTGTACTTGGTCAGAGAGATGACCTCAGCCAGAAGCTCGGTGAAGTAAGGCAGATCCTCGCGGAGGAAGCTGGCCTCGACAACAACAGCCTCCCTGGTGTGGGAGGAAGCCAATTGACCACCGAGGAGCTCAGACTCGCGAGTGATGCGGAGGGCAGATCGTCGCTGGGTGTTCTACATGGACCCGGCAAATTAGCTCAACTCGCGGGATTCTTCCAGATGCCGGGGTTCCTCACCTTGAAGGCGAACTCGGCCAGGCCAACAGTCAGACCGGGCAGAGGCTGGTATCGAGTACCGGCCTTGGCCACGACGGCGAGCTTGGTAGTAGGGCCGTGGGCATCCCGCGAGGCGACCTTGAGGCCAGTCACATCCGAGGTCTCGTATGATCCGGTCGACGCAGCGGCGGCAAAGGTTCGTCGCTGGACGCGGCAGGAGCGGCGAGCAGCCTGCTGCGCGGTTCGCGCGAGAGACGATCTCGAGATCATTATGGAGGGTGATGGCGTAGGCAATTGGCAATCCTTCGGCCGTCGGGGTGAAGCAATTGATCTCCAAAAGAAGTGCCTCGTCGAAAAGCTCCCGTCTAATTTTCGGGCTACGGGGAACGAATGGAGATGTCACGTGATTTTCTCCGGTCAGCCAGATTTGCACCCGCGGCATTGGTCCCAGTATCGACTGGTACCATTTGGGACTGGCTCTGGCGCGCAGCTACAAGGAAAAGACCTCACCCCACCTAGCGTTACCCTCCCTGCCTTAGGCCTACCAGCTCCCGACTTACACCACTCATTGCCTGCAGCCGCAGAAAAATCAACGATCCCATTTGCGCCGCAAAAAAAAAGCATCCCAGCCTCCTCGCCTTGTGCTCTCGTTCACGACCTCGCCTCCCAACCAGCTTCATTCGGATTGTCAACCGCACAGATATTCAGATCTCGCGCCTACGGGCCGTATATCTCTCTATAGTGCTCTTTTGCAGATCAATGACGCCCCGGTAGCAACTGTGGCAGCTCTAGAGATAGTGAGAGGATCTCTAGGAGCATCAATGCTCGTAGTCAGTCGAGCCTCATCCCAACCACACACGCAACAGCATCAGCTAACAGGCGCGCCCCAACAGACAAAACACGCTGCTGAGCTTTGTGCTCTCCTAGTCAACGACCTCTATGGCGAACTGCCCTCGGTATGCGATTTTCCTGCCCATATACTGGGATATAAATCTGTCTTTTTACTTGGCGTGAGATCGCGGGGCTGACTCAGTTGTCGCGAAACAGCGTATCCTGATTGCGCTTTTGACCAAGGGCCGCTCGACGATCTCCCAACTGGTCCAACATACCGCCCTTACTCCGCGATTCTTGCGAAATGGTCTCGCCGTTCTAATCCAGCAAAATTTGCTCTACCACCATACCGACCCCGACACCGACGTCACGAGCTACCAGGCCAACGCTGATGCTTGCTACAACCTTGTGCGATCCGGCAAGATTCTGGATATTATCGAGCGCCAATATGGCACCGCAGAACGAGAGCTGGCGCAGACTCTCATGCTTCTGGGCCATGCCCGCATTGCAGACCTTTCCCACGCTTTCGGGTCCCGAGCACCCAAGACCAATGGACAAACGAACGGTGATCATGAGTCACATGATGGGCTCATTGAGTCAGAAAGTCACTTGAACTCTGTTCTTGTTCGTCTCATTCGGGCCGAGATTGTCGAAACTGTGCGCCCAGAGAGCTTTCGCAACCCCCAGGATGTATACCGCGAAATCAAGGACTCTGTCATCAAGACGCGACCAGGCGAAAAATCCGTCTTTACAAAGACCCAGGCACAGGAGGAGATTCAAAAACGCTACCGCACATTTAGAGACCAGCCCCGGGTCCTGAAGCGTCAACTCGACATGAGCAGTGACTTTAGTGGACCCAAGAGACGGAAGCTCACGAACGGGTCAGCGCAAAATGGACATGCATATGACGATGATGCGCCGCGTTTGAACGTAAGGACATTCTGCGGCAACAAAATCTTGCATTTTAAGCTAACATCTGGCAGCCTAACGTAGTTGTCCGTCTGAATCATTCGAGATGCCTGGTCGAGTTGCGCAACCAGCGCCTGGCCAATTTTGCGGCAGAGATGCTTGGTGAGGTCACCGGTGAAGTCTATCGCACCGTCTTAGACCTCCTATCTGCCGAGTTCTCGAGGTGTCAGCCAGATCCTCTAATTGATGAGCTTACCGCTGGTCAACAGACAGCAGTTACAACTGTGGATATCTTTGAACACCTTGACAAGTCTGTCAATGTACAGTCTGGAATTGGCAAGACTCCCAAGGACAAGATTGACTCTGAGAGTGCCGAACGGGTTAGAGAGACAGCTCCGGACACGGATGATGACTCTGATGATTCAGATGCTGGCCCTCCAGGCCGCAAAAGGATCTTCGACGCGGACGAGGAGGATGAGTGGGCAGATGACGATGATCAAAATGGCGAAGCCACCAACGGCGAGCGAGAGAGCAAGGTTCGATTTGAGGATGCTGCCAATGGCGCTGCCAACGGCACCGATAGCCGCATCTCTCAGATGCGACGACATCTATTACTTCTCGCAGAGAGCAAGCATCGATTTATCCGACACTGTGGGACATTCGGTCGCGGTCAGTGGACGGTAGACTTTACCCGGCTGATGACACATCTACGGGAGACAGAGCTCGATGCCATCATTGAGCAGTCCCATGGCCGCCATGGGCTGCGTCTGACACGCATTCTACGAGAAAAGGGCAAGCTCGATGAGAAGATGCTTCCATCTGCTGCGCTTATGAAGAAGACGGATGTCCAGGGGAAAATGCTTGCGATGCAGATGGCAGGGATTGTGGATGTTCAGGAAGTGCCTAAGGATAGCAGCCGCCTTGCCAACCGGACCCTGTTCTTCTGGTATTTCGACAAGGAGCGAGCACAGACTCAGGCCTTGGACGACATCTACAAGGCCATGCTGCGATGTATGCAGACGCTCCAGGTAGAGCGGCACAATCAGCGGAACATTCTTTCGTTTGTGGAGCGAGAAGACGTCCAGGGCAAGGAGGAGGAGGTCATGACGACGGAGCACTACAACAAGTACAACAAACACTTGGAGGTGCAGAGCAAGCTTCTTGGGCAGGTCATGCGGTTGGATGAGTTGGTGTCTGTCCTTCGCGACTATTAAGAGAGTTGGAAAACGACAATGGGTGGCAGTTTGGTCTTCAACTTTTGTCGATTGCGCTATCATGGTGACTTGACATGTTGGCGTCGAGGCTTGGACGGTTCATGGGCTCAGCTTGTATTATATGATATCTGCTCTGTGGTAACCCATAAAAGAATGGTATGTTGCTAGTTTTGAAGGTGCTGGGTTATGCGTAATGTGTTTGTGTGTGTTGTGTTTTACCGAGATGCGTCGGCATGAGTCAACATGTATCATGCCAACAATTTGGAGGTGTTCTGTCATTGTTCAGGTTGTTTGTTGAGAAGAGATGAAATTAGCAGGGTTTCATCCCACCAAGTTTTGAATGTCGTACCGAGGGGTTTGTCAACAGACGCCATTTCCAATGCATGATTAGAATAGGACTATAGGACTGCAATTGAACCAATTGATGCCCAAACCATGAAGCAATTGATCTTAAAGACATCCGTGTTTTGCCATCATGACTAGAATTGTTGATGGTTGTAGGGTATGGAGCTGGCAATTCTGGTATGAAAGCATTCGTCCATGATTGGCTAGCGCAAAGTGGTCTGACCAGAGTTCTTCAACCTCACCCTTGTGAGCAGTGGCTTGACCTGTGGCTCGCGAGTGGCTCATGCGTGAAATTTGGCCAGCTCCAAAAATCCGAGCTACTGAAAGTGGGGGGCAAGAAACCCCGCCAATGCAGAAAAAAAAAGCCCACAGCCCACCATCCCACGCATCCCGTTCCGACGTCGGTAAGTAATTGAGCAGGGGGAAAGGAACCAGCCGCTCGCCGTACACCAGAAAGAGCAAAGTGCAGGTGCACTGGAGTGGTGGTGGAAAAATTTCCAGTCCCAAGCGGCCAAGCCTTGTCTCTCGTCCGTCCCTTTGCCTTGCGACAAAGCTCCCCTCTTTGCTTTCTTCACATCTTTTCTCGCGATACCCATCGAGTTTTCTGTTCGGCAGTAATTAATTGTCTTGCCCTCGTCGTTCATCATGTCTCCTCCTGTTGCTTCTGGTCGTGAGAAGGAGTCCAACTTGGCCCGACTCCTCGGTTCCGGTATGTCCTCCACTACTGTACCCATTGACACATCCGAGCATTATTTCCAATTGCCTCGGTGCTGCTCAATGCGCGAGCAAACCTCGACTGACAAGAATTGCATAGGCTCTGCTGGTATCGCTGAGCTCGCCATCTTCCATCCCGTATGCATCCCTCCGCCCGAGATCCAGGCTGCCGACAGCTCCCTCCTACGCCATGTGACACCTGCTAACACCAGTAAAGGTCGATACCATTGCGAAGCGATTGATGAGCAACCAGTCTCGTGTAAGAAGCACACCTCAAATTCCGAATCAGCCCGAGAGAATAGTCCATTGACCTGTCATGCCTCCAGGTTGCCAGTGCTAGCCAATTGAACCAAGTCATCTTCAAGGACAAGGCCAGCGCAACCGTCGGCAGGAAGTTTGTCTCCCTGTTCCCTGGCCTGGGATACGCCGCTGGCTACAAGGTCCTCCAGCGCATTTACAAGTACGGCGGTCAGCCTGTTGCGCGAGACTACCTGGGCAAGCACTATGGCGCCGACTTTGAGAATGCCTTTGGCAAAAAGACCGGCAAGGCCATTATGCACTCTACTGCCGGAAGGTATGTCTGCTATCCGAGTTCCCTGGAAATTGGGGATTCGTAAACTAGGAACTCATACTAAACTGTTTCACCTAGTCTGATCGGTATCGGCGAGATTGTCCTCCTCCCTCTCGATGTTCTTAAGATCAAGCGTCAGACAAACCCCGAGGCCTTCCGTGGCCGTGGTGTTCTGAAGATTGTGGCTGATGAGGGCTTCGGCCTGTACCGTGGCTGGGGTTGGACTGCTGCCCGTAACGCTCCCGGTTCTTTCGCGGTACGTGTTTTGCCCTGCAGCCATGAGTAGAGCGAAAATAACTGACCTATACAAGCTGTTCGGTGGTTCTGCCTTTGCCAAGGAGTACCTGTTCCACCTCGAGGACTACAACAAGGCCAGCTGGTTCCAGAACTTCATTGCCTCGATTGCTGGTGCCTCTGCCTCTCTTGTCGTCTCCGCTCCTCTCGATGTCATCAAGACCCGAATCCAGAACCGCAACTTTGACAACCCTGAGAGTGGCTTCCGAATCCTGGCCAACATGGCCAAGAACGAGGGCCCTTCCAGCTTCTTCAAGGGACTGGTTCCCAAGGTACGTCGGGCAGAGTTGCTTAAACACAACACAAGAAAACAGGCCCCTCCACTGCGGCTCGTCATGACCCGTTCAAGGCCCGTCTCCACTCTGAAATGTCAAGACGCTAATGGATCTTGTGCTGCAGCTCCTCATGACTGGCCCCAAGCTGGTCTTCTCCTTCTGGCTTGCCCAGACCTTGATTCCTGCCTTTGACGCTGCTTTCCGAAAGTAAAGCTGAAGCAAATTTGAGGAAAAAGAAAACTTGGGATTTATGTTATAGATACAAAAGCTAGAGATGATCTAGACAGGGCTTACGTATGGATGAGGGGGACGTAAAGGGAAGGGATGGGAGTTTAGAAGGGACGGGATTTATGTTGGGATGGATTTCTACGATAGACGTACCGGCATGAGGGATCGGGCCTCACTTGATCAGTGAGGCGGACGAAGGCACTCAACTCTGTATAAAATAAAGCGACTTGATTTGATTTGGCACACGTCACACACAGATCTCGTCGTGGGCCGTGACAACTGCCGTCACCAACAGATACGCAGCATGCAAGCTGGCTCGCTACAGCCGCCAGCAAGGCCATGATCCCTGCGGAATTGGGTCATGATGTATGCTATAGGCCTGGTCGCGCAAGCCGTCCCTCTGTCCGGTGGTGTGATATGCTCTGTTGTGGGCTTTTCATTCGTAGATGATGGGCCGCGCTGGGGCCGGGGTCCGGATGTGCAGAGGCGAGTGGGAAGTTAGTTTGTTTGGCGCGGCGGCTGGTTGCTCAGCAACAGAGACCCCCCGAAACAAAAATAAACCAGGCGACCAAGTTCTGCGACGGCGGCCAGACAAAGATGGAGCTATGGCATCCTCCAGCACCATTGTAAAAATCAAACTAAACAATGCATCGGGCTCCGAGGTTTTGACTTGATTTACTTTTACCCCGTCCATACCTCGCGCCTTTTATCCCTCTCATTTGCCTTTGCCTACTCTTCTTCCACTATCACCAATACTACTACCTCTCCCGCTCCCGCTACCGCTACTACTACCTACCTTAGTCCCAAGGTCCGAGACGTCTCCTCCATCCTCACCTTCATCATCGTCTCCTGCGCACCCAATCTAGCGTGGCTGCGGAGCCGTCCGCATTCTTGCCATCCAGACCTTGGACAACTTCATTCCACACACAAGACATTCGCGTCTCCCAGGAGCCAAGCATGCCATCCTCGGAGCGAGACAGGTCCCGAGAGGGAGACCTGCAGCTGAGACATCAACACTCTGCCTCTTCAGACCACTTCCGGGCGCTGATTCCAATGTAAGTTTTCTTCACTATATACCCTCATGGCTTTCTTGCGCCGGCTGACAGGAAATAGGTGGGATAGCTCTGACCCCGAGCGCTGCCCTCCACCGCTACCTCTGAACCCGGGATCGCCTCTCTCCTCGCGGGCCGGAACCTCGAGCGCCATTCAGTCTGCTCACGCTGCGCTTAGTGAGCGTGCGCGAGAGGCCGCCATGCCTCACCTCAACAGGATTAACAATGCCTCACCTACAAAGAGCAACTCGCACCGCCGTCTACAGTCTTCCTCCGTCAGGGACATCAGTCTCATGATCGAGGGTGCCAGCGGCAGCAACTCGCCTTCCAGATCACCAGAGCGACCTAGTCGACCAGAGACGCCTTCAAGGTCGCGCGAACCACCCGTGGACAACCGACCTATCGACAAGGAGCCGGTACCATCAAACCCAGGTCCCGGTCCTAGCCTGACACCTATTTTGCGACCCGCGGTTCGACGGCCACCTCCTCAAAGCATCTTGGGTGAGAACACACCTCCCCAGTCGTCTACGATGCTGGCTCTCCAGAACATGAGCTCCCTATCACCCACCAAGGAGCCCGAAAACCCTCTCTCCAACATTACAAACGGCTCATCGGCTCTGGTGAAGCACCCCCAGAACCTTGAGCAGCTCTCACACCAGATTCTCAGCCTCACCAGCATCGCCACAAATCTCCAGAAGGAGATGTCTCAGCTCAGTCGACGAAGCAGAGACAATGCTACCGACCTCCTCAGTCTCAAGGAGGCCACCAACACAAGAGATGAGGATATTCGACGGAGCCTCAGAGAGCTTCTTGGTAGTAGTCAAAGTGGTGGCAACGGCGATGGTAACCACCGACTATCTTCCCGAGACCCCTTTGGCGGATATTACCTGGACAACAAGCCACACAACTTGTCTCCCCCTGGCTCCAAGCCATTCCAGCTCCCAAGAATCCCTTCCCCCAAGAGCTTCTCCGACTCGATTGAGAGGGGATCCATTAGCACGCCCTCTCTGGCCGGATCGGAGGCGCCTGCATCTATTGCTCTCCTCGAGAGGATCATTCGGGACATGCCCACAAAGGAGGGACAGGACTCTCTTCTTACTCGCCTGCTAGAAGTATCAAACAAGCTCTCTGGAATGGCGACGTCTCAAAAGCTGGATGAGGTCATTGAGCAGGTCAGGGCTCAGTCCGAGCAGGCAATCGTGCTGGGCAACCCACTTGGAAGCCCTGATGCGAGCCGGTCTCGCAACTTGAGCTTTGGCGATGAGCCTAGCCATATGGACCTCATCCCTGGACAGGCAAGGAGTGCCGTTTCTCAACGTGTTGAACACATCATGAAGAATGAGGCCCGGAGGAACTCTGAACCCGCCAGCCAGAGAGCTAACATCGTCAATGACGATCTCATGGCCATCATCCGCTCCGTCAAGGACAGCGTTGCCCAGGGTGGCGGTCTAACTGCCGAGGTCAAGGCTCTCGTCCGGGAGCTCCGTGGTGAGGTCCTTGGCATGGGCCGGGAGATTGGCCGCAGACTGGAGCAGCAAGCCTCGCGAAGGAACGTCGACGACCATGATAGCCCAAGCAAGGATGAGGTGGCCCGAGTCATAGATGAAGGCCTTGAGCAAATGAAGGACCAGCTTAACCACGTCCTTCGGGAGCACAGGCGCCAGTCTGCGGCCTCGGTCAACACCCAGAAGAGTGCTGTTGACTATCAGGAGATCTACAATGCCATGCGAGCAGCCATCCAGGACAACGAGGCTACCCGTAACAACATGCCCGACCTCAGCCGAGATGATGTCATTGAGGCTGTCAGGGATGCCTGGGAGAACTACAAGCCTGAGATTGAGGTTCAACAGCTTGGACTTGAGCGTGACGAGGTTTTGGCTTGCCTGAAGGAAGGCCTTCGAGAGTTCGCTCCAGCCCCTGCTGCCACCAGAGACGAGGTTTTCACAGCCGTCGTCGAGGGCCTGAAGCACTTTGTTCCCCCTCAGGTTGAGCAGCCCGATGCTGCATCGAGAGAGGAGATTATCGATGCGGTCCGTGACTGCTTGGAGGAGTTCGAGTTCCCCGTGGCCCCTGGCCCCAATGAGCTCACCCGTGAGGACATGGTCGATGCCGTCAAGGAGGGTCTCCACGACCTGGATCTCACCTCGAGCCGTGCTTTGGTGCCTGCCTCTGCGGGCAACGACGATATCGCCGAGCGTCTCAGAGAGATTATGGATTTCCTCCGACACGAGTTCAAGGCGATGTCCGATGAAGCCAAGCAGAGCCGAGATACGGAGCAGGTCATCGATGCGACAAAGGACGGCTTCGAGAACCTCCGGAAAGCCATGGAGTCGTACGTTGACCGTGCCGCTGGCGTTGCAAGCCAGGAAGACTTCTTGGATGATCTGTTGAAATCCCTGGATGACTTCAAGGATGAAGTGGCCGGCCTCGTTGCAAATGCCAACCTCCAATCCCGTGAGCAACTCCAGACTGAGCTTGAAGGCCTCCGTGATGTGGTCAACTCTTCCATGGTGCCCGCTCTCCCTCCCCAACTTAACAACACGGAGGTCCTTGAGGCTCTCAACACAGGCTTCAACAACCTCCGACAGGAGATCCTCCGTCCCCGAGCCGAGACGAGCGAGATTCTTGACGCCCTCAATGATGGCCTCAACGATCTGCGAGCTGGCATGGACCGTGTCACCAACAAGCCTGCCGATTTGACCGCAAATGACGAGATCCTCGATGCCCTCAAGACTGGCCTCGACTCTGTTAGATCCGACATTGACACTCTCCGCGAGAACAGCAACGACAGAGCCATTGCTACTCTCGATGCCCCTCCACAAGCCAACGATGAGCTTCTCGATGCTCTCAAGGCTGGCCTGGGTGCTGTGCGCTCGGATATTGAGGCACTTCGCGATGGCCATGCCGAGAAGGCCCTTACGCCAGCTGAGCATACCGAGAACAAGGACAACGACGAGGTCCTCGAAGCGCTGAAGACTGGCCTTGAATCCATTCGCGCTGACATTGAGACAATTCGGGAGACTACCAAGGAGCCTGCCGCTGCCGCTCCCGTGGACAACACCACCAACGATGAGGTTATTGAGGCCCTCAAGAATGGACTTGACTCCCTGCGGGTCGACATCGAGGCTCTCCACAGCAGCCATGAGAAGGCACTCGCCCCTGTTGACAACACGACCAATGACGAGGTTATCGAAGCCCTCAAGAACGGCCTTGACGCTCTCCGGGTTGACATCGAAGCCGTGCGAGACAGCAGCGACAAGGCTGTTGCTCAGGTCGACAACCACAACACAAGCGATGAGTTCATCGAGGCCCTCAAGAACGGATTGGAGTCTCTCAGGGTCGATATTGAGGCCATCCGGGACAGCAATGAGAGAGCTGTTGCACCTGCCGCGCCTGTGGACAACACCTCCAATGACGAGGTTATCGAAGCTCTTAAGAATGGTCTCGATGCTCTCCGAGTTGACATTGAGGAGTTGCACAGCAGCCACGAGAAGGCTGTTGCCCCGGTTGACAACACCACGAACGATGAGGTCATTGAAGCCCTGAAGAACGGTCTCGATGCCATTCGCACAGACATCGAGACCCTTCAGGAGAACCACGACAAGGCCCTTGCCCCTGTTGCTGATATCAAGCCCAACGATGAGGTCCTTGATGCCCTCAAGACCGGACTGGAGTCTCTCCGCTCTGAGATTGAGTCTCTCCGTGAGACCAACGACCGCGCAGTCGCCCCCGTCGATCCTGGCTCCGACGACAAGATTCTGGATGCTCTCAAGTCTGGCTTGGAATCCGTTCGCTCAGACATTGAAGCTCTTCGAGACAACAACACTGAGCGCGCTCTCGGACCCGTCCTCAATGACCGTGAGCCGCAAGACATCCCATTGCCCCCTGACACCGTGCGTCACGATGATATCAGGAACCTTGAGGTCCTGATCACTGAGCTTCGCGTCAAGGTTGAGGCTCTGGAGCCCCAGAAGGAGGGTGTCCAGAAGGATGATCTGACTCGAATGGAGGAGATGATCCGCAATGTCCAGGATACCGTCGATGACATTGGCTCTCGTGAAATGATGTCCACGCGCGCTATCCCAACTGAGAAGAAGGAGCGCCCTGAGGCCGCCATCCTTGGTGATCCTGAGGATGCCGCTACCAAGGAGGATGTTCAAGCCATTGAGACCATCCTGCGAAACACCAAGGGAAAGCTTGATGATCTCATTGACGGTGATCAAGCCGTTCGCAAGGACCACATCGACAATGTTGAGACTCTCCTCCTCGAGACACGTGAGACTATGGGATCTATCACTACTCAGATGGAGACGGTCTCCCGCAAGGAGGAAATCACTGGTCTCGAGACTCTCATTTCTCAGATCTCCACCGGCCTTGAAGAGTTGAAGGGTCGTCTTGACAAGGAGAGCGAGAACCCTGAAAGGGTTGTCAAGGCTGATGTTGAAACTGTTGAGGCCCTCGCTCTCGAGATCAAGACCGCTCTGGACGGATACATCAACACCGATCTCGCCCTTCTTGCCCGCAAGGAGGATGTGTCAGGCCTGGAGGCTCTTGTTGCTCGCAAGGATGATGTCACCAACCTCGAAACCGTCGTCAAGGAGTTCCACGAGAAGTTGGACCTCACTGTTGAGGCCCAGACCAAGGCTATCGCAGTTCGCGACGAAGAGACCACCAATGTTGCTGAGCGGGTGAACGAGGTCAAGAACTTCCTTGAGGAGCTTCAGGGAACCATCAACATCAAGCTCGAGGAGGGAGCCTCTGGTGTTGAGGGTGTCGGCAAGCTTCTCGAGACCATGGGCGAGAAGATTGACAAGAACGAAAATGTTCACCAGGATCTCAAGGACATGCTCGACACTATCAAGAGCGAGTTCGAAGACTCCAAGGCTGTCATGGCTGGTGTCAAGATCGAGTCCAACGACAAACTTCAGGAGACCACCGAGTCCCTGGGTAACAAGATCGACGAGAAGATTGGCGAGCTCATCGCCAAGTATGAGTCTCTTTCGACCCAGCTTGATGAAAGAAGCAAGGTTAGCGAGGCTCGGGACGAGGCCGTCGAGACGGCTGTTGTCAGCTCCAAGACCGTCACAGACGAACTCAAGCTTCTCATCGATACTCTCGGCTCAACTGTCACTGATTCTCTTGAGAAGATGGAGGAGGCTTCCAAGACTGTCTTCACCAAGGTGGAGGAGCTCGTGACACGCCATGAGGAGACACACACTGAAGACAAGGCTGAGCATCAGCAAACCCGGGATCAGATCTCTCTGGCCTTGTCTGTCGTGGAGGGTCTAAAGGGCGAAGTTACTGAGGGGCAGCCCAAGATCATGGAGTCTGTCAAGGACCTCCTCCTTCTCGTCAGCGAGCACTTTGAGCACTCCAAGACATCTGTCACGGACATCCAGGAGAAGCTTGTCGAGAACAAGCCCCCGGAGATCCTCAGCACTCTCCTGCCCCCCGAGAAGTACGACAATACCGAGGTCCACGAGAAGCTCAACAACCTCGTGGAGCACATCTACAACGACTCTGAAGTCCGTGAGCGCCTTGATAGGATTATCGAGGAAAAGTACGATGACACCGAAGTCCGCGGAAAGCTGGACAAGATCATCGAGGACAAGTATGACGACGCTCAAGTTCACGAGAAGCTTACCACCATCATCGGACACAAGTACGATGATTCGGAGGTCAAGGAGAAGCTTGAGAAGATCATCGCAGACAAGTATGATGATGCTGAAGTGCGGACCAAGCTCGACAAGATTATCGAGGACAAGTACAACGATGCTGATGTCCGTGAGATGCTCAACGTGATCATTGACCAGAAGTACGACGATGCCGAGGTTCGCGAGAAGCTTGGCTTCATTCTGGATCAGGTCATTGAGAACAAGTACGATGATACGGCAGTCCGTGAGAAGATGGACTCTCTCATGGATCAAGTTATCCAGCAAAAGTACGACGACAAGGCAGTTCAGGAGAAGCTTGACTTGGTTCTGGACTCCAAGTACGACGACTCTGACGTGAAGGAGAAGCTTGGTCTCCTCATTGACCTCAAGTATGACGACGCTGAGGTGCACGAGAAGCTCGACAAGCTCGTTGACCACAGTAGCACCACTGATCAGGCCCTCACTCGTCTGGAGACTCTTGACAAGGTTCACGCCTCGGTCGTCCAGACAGCGGCTGACATCTCCGAGTTCCTCTCCGCCCAGAAGCAGCGCATTGAGCAGGCACACGAGGATCACGAGAAGACCCTCCGCGAGACTATGGCATCGGTGGAGCGCAAGCTTGCCGAGAAGGACCACGTTGAGGCGTCCGTCTCTAGCTTGCGTGAGGAGGAGGAGAGGCTTCGAAAGAGTGTCATGAGCCTGCGAACTGAGCAGGAGAGTCTCATCCGACAGAAGACTCGCCTAACGGGAGACGTCTCCTCGCTTGAGACTGCCCTTCGCGTTCGCAAGGAGGAGCTCTACGATATGGAGTCTCGTGCTGAGAACCTTGAGCGCCGCATCCTTGAAGGTGTCATGGATCACTCTCGAGTGCTTCTCATGTCGAAGGCCAACAAGAACGGCGGCGATGCTATGAGCCGCAAGCGAGTCAAGAAGCCTGCCACCGAGACCGACTCTTCTCAGCCTGCCCGCAAGTCGATGGTGAGCATTGCTCTCAACGCCAAGCGAAACCTAGCAGCTCCTGCACAGACTGGCAGTGCCCGAAGAATCGTCTCTCTCAGCCAGATCAACAACAACGTAGCATCTGGTGGTGTCAAGCGCAGCCAGAGCGTGCGAACACCAATGGGCGGTAGCAAGGCATACCGCAAGAGAAGTTTGGGTGGCCACCTCGACAAGGGTCCAGGCGACAATGATAAGGAGAATGTCGTCGGCCTTGGCGAGGCGGTCGAGGAGTTGGATGAAGCTGATGCCCGAGGTGCAGCACCAGAAGCCGAAGAGCCTGGCGCTGGAGACACGACAGTGCTGCACAACGATGAGGCCGGCGACAGTGACAACGAGACGCTGCGGAGGAGCAGCAGGGGGACGGTCGTCACCAACAGTACCGACATGTATACAGAGGGTGATGATTACAGCGAGTACAGTGACGACACAGGGAGTGAGTGGACAGAGAGCGCGGTAGGAACCGACGCGGGATCCATACAGGATCAGGGGAATGACGTGGTGGTTTACGGATCATAGGGGATGAAGGGAAAGATACGGGATGAAGGTACGACGGCGATAGAGTCAAGTTGGGATTGATACCTGGTCATGTTTCAAGGGGTTACGAGACTCTTGATGAGGCTTCACGGAGTGTTTTTGGCTGGATCGGATCAGATTGGGTCTGTTTGTTTGTTTGTTTATTCTCATTGGTAACGTCTCTGCACTTGATCATGGTCGTTTATGGCTTTGGAATGATGGTTTCGTTTAGCATTGTTAGTCATATTTCGTTGATAGGTTACGGTTAAAAGAAATGTATGAATTCAAATCAACTCTAGAGATGTTTTGCTCTTGGTGTTGTGAAGTCTGGTGCTTGTGTAGATTTCGGGGATAGGAGAGGAGGGGATGGGTTCTCCTCGACCAATTGGCCAACAGTTGTTGGCTTATCGTTTACATCTGATACCAACTAAATCCATACAGTCCTAACACATTGTGCCATTCATTTATTCGTTCCTTATTCTTAACTTGCGAAGTCGCTTCAAGTTGGTAGAGTGACTCTTTGTTCAAGTCAACAAAGGAGCCCCACTATAGATGCCCCTTGTCTTATCGGAACCCCTCCATGTTTTTGACGTCGCGTCCTCCACCATCACGACTTATACCCAAACAACACCCAATAACCACCCAATCTGTCCCTCTTACGAAGTTACCGACTCGGAGAGATACATGATGGAGCAGGGCGCACCTAGCGGGATTCTCTCCCCACCGGAGCTCACACCACTCGAGCAGGAGGTCCTGGACGAGTACGAGCGTCTAGCCGACAACATGAACAAGGTCTGATACTCTGCCCCTCCACAAGACTAGCAACTGACGCTCTTTCAACAGCTGGCTACTATCCTCGAACACCTCGCATCAAATCCCAGCACCGAGATCCTCGATAGCCTACGCGAACTCGAGCGCAAGACGAGTCTGGCGTTTACCCTTCTCAAGGCTAGCGTGTACAGCATAGTTCTACAGCAAGAGATTGACTGGGGTGATGGTTCGACGGCGCAGTGAAAAGAGAAGGCATACTTTTGGCGGAGGAGATGAGGAGAGTAGGATTGATACCCAAGCCACGACGACCAAGAACCGACCTTTATAAATACAAAAAAAAAAGAGTCATAACCGCGTCAATGTTGCACCACCATTGAGATTTTGGCACATATCCCTCTCTCTCCATTACAGGCTACAGATACAAAAAGTCGTCTCTTTTTTAAATGGTGATACACGGTTGTTTCATGGATGGGGTTTTTAATATACAGCTCCGCCATAGTACACCTTCCGCACGTCCACCAGCTTCTTTCCCCTGCCGATGGCGATCTGCTCCGGGTCGGGTTGGTTCGTGAGCGCCTGGTACGCCGCCTTGACCGAGTTCATGGGGTTCTTGGACCGCGGCATGCGCGCAGCCATGTCGTGGATGCCCGCTGCTCGACACATCTCAAAGATGCGGTGGGGGACGCGGAGTCCAAAGCCTAGGAGAGGTTCTGTTAGTGAATATGTTATTAGAAGGAAGTGCCTGAAACGTACCTGGAGGTCGGGCCATCAGCTCAACAACGGTGCCCGACACCTTGGCCGAGACGTTGCCGTAGATGGTGCGGTTCTCGTACCGGCGGACGGGCTTCATGTTGCGGATGGCCAACATCTGCGCCGTCTCCTCTGCGACACCGGGCTCGGTGGACTTTGCCATGCCGAGACCCAGACGGCCGTTGCCGTTACCGGCGATGGCCACGACTGAGGTGCTGCGGACCTTGCCCAGACGGGTCTGGTTGGCGACCCAGCGGGTGACGAGACCCTTTGTGAGCAGCGAGCGAATCTCCTTCAGGCTCATGCCCGTCAACCGCTTGATCTCCTGGTACTTGCCCGAGTCGTCCTGGCCTTGGTCCTCCGGGTCGACGGCATGCTTGTACAGGCCGTGAACGCCGGGAACCTTGCCCAGATCGGCGGCCTCGGCCGAGTGGGCCCGGTCGATACCCGCAGGTCCGTCCTCAATAAGCTCAATGCTCGAGGGTTCGACCTCACCCTGGCTACCGAAGCCGACAATCTTGTCGAGCTCCTGCTTCCAGGCCTCGTCGACAGCCTCATCAGCCTTCATGGCCTGAGCTCGTGTCATAAACTCGGGGCCCTTTGAGTTGGCGTCGGGTTCGGGACCGTCCTCCTCGATGATGTATCGCTTGGCCAGCTCCGGATCCTTCTCCATGTCCTCGAGCTCCGCCTCAGTCAGGTCTATCAGGTCCTCGCCCTGGCTCTCCTTGACGCGCCGCAGCGCCCGGATCATGGCGCGGGTGAGCTGGTCGCTCGTCTTCTTATCGGTGATGCTCCTCATCTTCTGGCCGTAGTTGTCGAGCCACTCGCTGGTGCTGGGCCACTGCACCTCCCTCGGGGTGCCCTCGATCTCGGGCTTGAGGTCGTAGCGGGGGTCGAGCACCGTGTAGTCCTCGATGTACTCGGGCTTGTAGGGGTCGTCACGTAACCGGCCCTGGATCACCATGTCTTCGGTGTCGACGGCCTTTTCACCCGCCTCGATGGCCTCCATCTGCTGCTTAGAGTAGTGTCCCTTGAGGAGGTCCTTCTCCTCGGGCGTGTACTCGGCAAAGTGCTCCTTCTTGTACTGGTCCATCTTCTCGGGCGTGCTTAGCAGTCCCAGCTCCTGCGCCGTGACATTGCGGAACCTTGACTTCCGCTTCGAACGGGGAGCAGAGCTATGGAACTGGTGGCATGGGACGGCGGGGAGGGTGGTGGTGGTTGTTCGGGACGAGGCGAGGCACCTGCCGAGGAGGGTGCGCGCCGGTCGTGCGACGCTCATGGCCGGCAGGAGTCGGCGGGCAGGCCGAGGTTCCAAGGAGGTATATCGTCTTATTCAATTCGTCGAATTGGGGAGCTTCGAGGCGGCGAGAGGACGCTCCGTATCGGCCGTGTTGAGCGCTGTCTTTCCCTCACACGAGCTCGAGGATTTTTTTGGGGACCCAGGAATACTCAATTGAGAGTTCCCCTCAAGTGGGCTAGCGTCTCGCGGCTGTAGGGACCAATCAGCGCTGGTCAATCCTCAGGTCATCCATCCCACCAAAAGGCCATGGCGATCACGAGCAGAGTCACGTGGGTATTCAAATTCAACTTCATCCCAACTTCAACTGCCTGTCTCAATTCAACGAAACAAGGCTCTTAATGATCGAATTATATGAGTAACGTCTTCAACATCTTTTTATTCAAATACCACCAATTGTTGTCCATTTCATCCAACCAATCACATCCCACCCCAACATCAGTCGACTCTGCCGCAAGTGTGAAACGTCTCAGTGTGGCTCCAGGGGCCAAAAGCCAAGCGTTAGGGGTCTTTCCACCGTCCTCACCACTCGCTGTGGGCCATTCATTGAACCAAACCAGATGTGACGCCTGCGCCGTTTCGACAATCGCGAGCCGACGTGATTCCCGTCTTTTCCCTCCCAACTCTTGAACACTTCTCTCCCTCTTCCTTCTCCTGTAGCTATACTCATTCCGTTCCTTTCTACAATATTCACTTTATTCTCTGCCGACTATTTCTCTTCTTGTTCGTGACTGGCGCACGATACAGACAACTCTCTCTGTACATAATTCCGCGACACCCTTGAGTCAAGCTCAAATCAACCACCCCCGTATCGCAGCAGCAACAACAACAACACAACAGCCCCAATGGGTCAATTCGACTGGTTCTCCTCCATCGGCGCCACTGACGAGGCTGTCGCTGTCCTCAACGATCAACCGATCCTCTTCACCATCCTCCTTGTCGTCCTCGTCGCCGTTATCCTCCAATGCGTCCTCATCTGGTATATCCACTACGCCACCATGAAGCCTGAGCAGCGCAAGGCCAAGCAGGATAAGAAGGACAAGAAGGCTGCCGCGAAGGCTGCCGCGAGGAAGAAATGAGACAACCATATATGCCATATCGCAACTGCATCATATCGACATCTTGCCACCTCACGACAGGCCCTCGTGCTTGAAAAGGATGTCACTCGGCTCATTCGACACTTATTTCTCCGTCTCGACGACACCTCATTTCACCACCACCTCAGCGCGCCTCTACCCCGGGCTTTCATCTAGCTTTATTAATTCGCCTCTATAGAGTATTTATTCTCTTATCTCAAGCTCAAATCACTCCGCCATTTTCGTCCATCCCACATGTCGCCTCTTTGATTTGACGCCTGAAAATCTTCGTCGCCCAGTCTATATCCCTTCGTTACGAAAAACCCAATGATCCGCAGCGTGGAAGTTCCTAGGGTCGTAGAATGTATTATCTGCCACCATCACCTCCGTACCTTGAGGCATCTGCTCCACGGACACCGCGGGACCCCAATCATGCCCGAGCGGCACCTCAGCAACTTGTCCTCCTAGTCCGTAGCCACTCTCAGTCCATTCCGGCAGCGTCCAAGTCACCGGATAGCCATGCGGGTTAGCCCATGGGTCGTTGCAAAACCCCACAGCCACCAAACTTGAACCCTCGCACCCGTAACTGGAATTCTCGCTCTTCACCAAGCCTGGCGAATTGTGTATTACTTCCCAATTCACACTCAGTGCTGGATGCTCCTGATCTTCTCTCTCTGCCTCGGTATTAGTGTATGCCTCTGCCATGCCCCTTTCTGACAGCATGGGGGCTAACCGCCCCTGGGTGGTGTCTTGTGAGCTTTGCACTGGCCGTGCTGGTTTCTTGGCCTGCTTTCTTTCCATTGCCGAGGGCACTTCAGTGGTTGCCAAAAGAACATCCTATGCTCGCTTTTCGATCACTTGCACGGTGTCTTCCCAATCATTGTATGCGCTTCTGGAATCGGTGCCATCCCGTTTCATATCCACCACCTTCTGTCTCAGCGCTGGGGACTCGGCATTCTTCATCCGTGCCAAACATGTCGCAATAACCGGTAGTAGCTGAGCACGATCCGATATCTTCTATTGTTTTATTAGCATGCTGGATTGTACGCTTCTTGTTGAGCTTACGCTGAGATAGGGCATATGAAAGACGCCTGGTGCCAAGTTTGTAAGGCAGTGTGTTGAAGAACCGCCCCAAACTTGGTAGCCCCTATACTTCTTCTCCGGGGCTAACATTAGCTGCTCCAGGAGAATATCCACCAGGGACAAGGACTGCAGGGTCTCCAGCACTTTCAAGCAAGCAGCTTCCTCATCTCTGTCTCTACACGGCGTAGGCTTCTTCCTCTTGTTCTTGTTGGGTGGAAAGTTGAGGCTGGACATGAAGTTGTCGATGGCTCGTTGGTCGTCTGCCTCGAGTGTAGCCAGTAGATCACTCTCCTCGGTAGTTTCTTGACAGTCTCTTCCTTTTAGTTTGCTGGTGTTCCTCCGCCTCTTTTTCGGCTTCTTGTCTGGGTCGTAGCTATCTGTGGGCGTGGAGAGACTGATTGGAAGTATCAATGTCCGAAAGGGCGATGTTCGTGCCGTCTGAGGGGCTACCAGGGCCGATGTAAGGTCTGGGTGCTGGACTGAGAAAGACAAGAGGCCTGGGAGTGTGGCTACCGAGTCCTTGTTGTGTTCAAGCTGAAGCCCCAGGCGATTCCAAACCTAGCAAACAAGATAAGCCTATGGGGGCGGTGGTGCATGGTGCCAACCATACCGGGCAATACTGGATTAGATCAATCGTCTTTTGAAGGTGTTCGTTTTCCAGTATCGGGCGGCCATTGACGGCAATGGATATCTCGATGCAGCAGGTACCCGTTCGAGCAATCCAAATATGGGCATTCTTCACCACCACTGCAAGCTCATCGATGGTCGTAATGGAGGGCAAATCGTTGGGCACGTCGACACAGAGAGACGGCGTTGCTGTAAGTTCCAGGTCCGCTTTTTTTGCGTGTACTCGAAGGGTTGGTAAGGCAAGCGCGGGTGTCATTGCTGTTGATAGAGAACTTCGACATGGCTGAAAGGTTGAGGGGAAGACATTTTGAATGGAAGGTTGGAGGGAGATAAACGGAAAGGGCACGTGAGAGCAGGGCCTCTGGATTCGATGTCGAGACTTGGAAGGTGGTGGTTTATTGGGGAGGGAGGAAAGTGCACCTTTCCTTCCTCAAAAAATGTTATTGGTCTCAGTATGAGCGCCATTGGCAGACACTGACCTAGCTGGTAAGCAGGTAGGCAGTACCTAGGGAGATGGTATGCAGGCTTGTAGCCAATTAACCGACTCTGTAAACAATGAATAGGCAATCCTGTGCATGATAACTCATTGTCGACAGTCCTAATATCAAATCCTCCAAAAGGCATGTATGTCGTTGGCCGTGAACTAGAGTCGTCAAGTCCCATAAGTCTATAGTAGAATGCGCCTCCCATAATAGCACCCGTAGATGGCATATGTACATGCTCCAGTAACTCCTTGCGATCAACAATCCAACACGAGACAGGTAGATTATTTCGCAAACCAGGGAAACCCAGACTTCTTCTTGGCCGGTTCGGCAATCCCTCCAGAGGTGCTCTCCACCTGTACACTTCGCTGGTAAATATCCTGTTTGGCTCGGTTAGCAATCCATTGTAGTACAACAGCATCAAACAAGGTCGTCTCACCTCTTCATCTGTCGGCATCCGGCAACCCAGAATCAGTTCCCTCGCTGTGTCATGCTTGGATAGATTTGGGTACGCTGTGCCCTGACTCTTCATGATCGGGAGTAGCACCTCCCCGAGCACCTCAAACTTCTTCCAGTTGATTCGGTCTCCCTCACTGCCAACAAAAGTCTTGCTCCCTTCCTCTGCCGACACCAAATCGCGCCGGTGGAGAGGGATAAAGGGGATGCGTGGAAGGGGCGAGTTCTCCCACGCCAGTCGATATGCAAAATGACTCTTCTGAGTCCCCATCAATATTCCCAGCCGCGCAAATCGCTTCTGTACCTCGGCCGGCACCAACGATCTCGTTTGGGTCAATCGATGAATGGCTGTCCCGTTAACTCCAGCGAGGACGGCTGCCAGTCCGTTATAATTATTCAACTGACGTAGCTTGAGTGCAATGTTCATAAACTTCTCCAGTATCTGCGCTCGGTGCTTAGCCTTGTCTCGCAGCAGAATCATGTTGGCAACCCATTTGGCAACGTGGTTGAAGTGGCCAATCATCCGGTTGACGTTCCTCAAGCTCTTGCATTTCTCCTTCTGCGCCGTTGACAAGCTGACATGACGCACGAAATCACGAATTCGAATCGACGAGAACATGATCCAGTCAATCCTAGTCAGCTCGTCTGCGACATCGTCGTCCGGAATATCCATAAATATGTGATAACGAAACTTGTTCATCGGCAAGTTGTCGGTGGGTTCCAGGACGGCTGCCGCTCTTTCATAATCGTCATACGTGTTAAAGTGCACCTGGCTCCCGGAACTGCTGCCACCCGTGGCCAGAGAGATCTCGGAGCTTCCCGACGGTCTTCCGTCCATGTCGGATTCCACTGTCAGCACGCTGACGCCTGATGACAGCTCGGACATCTCCTTGGATAAGATCTCGCTCGCAAGCTTGTCGCTGGTCTCATCAGAGTTTGCCCAGCCCGTATCGTCATCTTCCACCACGTTGAACTGAAGATTACGTCGCATGTGTTGTGCAGCGATTGAGAAAATCGGCTCCGTGGAAAGATGTCTGATAAACTCCTCCAGATTCCGCCTCGTCTGCGGTCGTGCAAAGTCACCGGGATACGATGATACCCACTTGGCTACGACTTCAATGATGCGCAGCTGTGTCGCCGTCTTGGAGAGATAATGTGCAGTCTTGTCGTCCCTGACCTTGTCAAGTCGGGTTAAGATGGCAGAAAAGAGTTCGCCGGGGGCAGCAAACTTGCGATATAGACAGAGGAAGACATCCGAGAAGTTACTGTCTGCTCTCGACAGCCTGGGAGCAAGAAGTCGATCGACCAATTCGTCAAATGTGACACCTGCCATCTTTGCTTGCTTTTCAAGAATATTGTCGTCTGCTCGTTGCAGTATAGGAATGTCGTCCGAGTAGCGGTATGATTCAGCGTCCGACTCCTCAACATCCAAGAAGGAATCTGTATTGGGCCTGTCCAACCGTATGCCCGGGGTCCTAAGCATGTTGCCAACTGTTTGCGCCTGACCCGGGTCTCCTAGTTCGCGTGCGGAGCCCGGGTTTGGGCTGGTCCCCTGCTGGCCAGCTCTTGGGCTGCGAGAGGCCTGTGCCCTGTAACCGTCGCTAACAGGGGGGTTTGAGAATCCCTTGAGCAAAGAAAAGTCGGAGCTTGCTCTGCTGTGCTTGCTGTGCTGGCTTATTGGGCGTCCAGTGCTGACATCTGGAGCTTCCAAGTTGGCAGCAGACTGAGCTCTTCGGCGCGATACTGTTTCACCGTTTTCTTCTGTATCAATTATTAGAATATGTTGTATACTCGATGTACTTTGCGCGTACCCCTTCGATGTGCTATAGCAGCCCTCAGAATTGTGTGTAGGCATGTTCTTGCAACATCATGGTTATCTGATGCGATCTTGTAGGTAGAAACGCAGGATTTAAAGAGTTGATGGTTTGCCATGGCCTCTGCGTTGACTTGCCACTCTGCCTCCGGAGTCTCGCATTTGCAGGCCACCAAGCTGGCTGGCAGACCAGAATTAGTTAGAGCCGCTAGGAATTCTTAGCCGGAGTTCTTTATGAGGATGCGGGAGGGTATGTATCATACCAAGCGTCTGTGGTAGTTCTCGAACAGACTCATGATTCGTAACATCGTATAGTATAAGCGCGGCGTCGACGCGAGGTACAATATGCCCGTTGATTTGCTTTGGCCATTGTATAGGTTGACTAGGATTTAATTCGAAATACTCTAGATCCAGCTCGAGCAGGGTTATGACGTGGGAGATATTGTCGACCAACATGCGAACACTAGAGGCATTGGAGATGGGTGGTCGGGATAAACCTAGGACGCGCTGGACAAATGAGGATTTGCCAACACCGGTGGAACCGATGATGGCAATGTTGAAGCCGGCTTCCATGGCTGTGTGTGATTGCGACTACAGAGCACCAGATCATGGTCAGTCCCTGAATATCCAAGCATTCTCGATTCGATCAGGTTGAACCCCTGCCCCGCGAAAGGCAGGTGGGGCGCATGTTGGAGATGTAACATACCCAGTACGACGAAGGTGTGGCGGTCAGAGACTCTCGACGAGGAGGCGGCCAGTGCTGGCTTGGGTCGTTGTCATCGCTGTCGGGAACGAAATTACTGTCCTCACCGCCGCCGTTAGAATTGGCAGGGTTGGCTGTGTCACCAGCGCCGACTTTGACACCGGGGTGAAACTGGTGTTCGAACTCCTCGTCGTCTAGCGATTGGTAGATAGAGCTCCCGTCCGAGTCGGAGTCGCCGTCCGAGGCGGCAGCGGCATTGACTGCTGGATCGTATGTCTGAAAGAAGGGGTCGTCGACGATTGAACCGACCGAGTCCCGATGGTTGGTACCGGATGGCGAAGGGTCGGAGTCGCTTTCGGCGGTCGGGTAGGAGTCGGCCGGGCTGGCTACGGGGTACGGATGAGAGGCGGACGAGGTGGCGGCAATGCCTGAAGTCGGGTGAGTATATCGTGAACCAGCATGATCGGGTCGCATGGTCGCAACTTCAGCGACTGGGCCAGGTGGTGAAGAGGAACATAGGATGGATGCCAACAGGTGGAGAGGACCGAACCCGTGGCGTCTGCGGGGAGGGAGAACTCGTGGAGAGCTAGTGGCTAAAAATTGTCGTAAAGGGGAAAGAGAGAATGAGGAAAGCAAAGCCAGCAGCGGGACAAGAAATGGAAGTTGGGGGAATAACGAGAGAAGACACTAGGGCAAAAGGCTAACGAACGAGGAGGGAGACGAGTTACTGACAAGGCTTGCACTGTGAGGTAGGGATGGATACAGGCACAGTAGGCGAGTCCAGCCAGATGGAGGGAGGACGCGCAGACGCTGGCGAGGGTAGAAGCGCTCTCCTAGCCGCGATGCTTGTGCAACCAGCAACAAAAGAAACAACGGGCAGTATGTCTCACGCAGCAACGGTGGGCAGGCAGATTGGCCTGAAAGCTCAAAATAGGTGGGTGGCACAACGACTGCTGGTGTCGATATGCGCGCTCAGCGCCAGAGGTGGACAAGACCTGAGGCTCAGGACCTTGACAACCTCAAGATGTCTTGAACTTGAAACCTGTTGCTTGAGGCTTGGTGTTAGCCCGGCCATGCTCAAGGCCACGCTCAACGCGGGCAAAGGCGCTTGCACAACGGGCGTGCATCCCGTCTGCAGGCGCGGGAGTCGTACGTACGTAAGGTACTACCTATGCTGTACAGGCGTTGCAAAGGTTATGTTTGTTGTCGCGCCGTGGGTTTGCTGCACGTCTGAGGGGCAGGCGGCTCAGGGTCAGGTCGTCAGATTCAGGAGGCGATGGGCGCTGCGATGCGCTGCAATGGGGGGCCCGGGGGCTCGGTCAGGGTGCGGAAGCGGATACCTTGGACCGAAGGGCTTCGACTGGTGAATCCAGGGACGCGTCTGAGGAATGAAGCTCAAAGCATCAAGCTCGACGTTGGCAAGTTTATTGCGCAAAATGGCACGAAGAGGGGAAGAGAACCGCGGAATCGGGACGGTCAACGTTTTGGGGGAGGGGACCTACCGACCTGGGCCGGCGCGCCGACGTTTACGTTGACGTTGGGGGGGTCAGGTTGTTTCCAGTTAAGGAAGTTGGGATCAAAGCGTCGTGCTTCTCGGCGTTGCTTCGAGGTCTGGTTTAATTTGGATGTTAAGATCAACGGCCTCCCAACCTGGCAGGGTTGAAATTGCAGCTTGAGAATCAATGGTCGCCCTCTCCTTATTGCATCTCATTCTCAGCTGCGTTTATTCGTTTATCCTCCATCTCAGTCACAAGCTCCAATCCTCTGGTTCCAGCCTGTCTGCCCATCACATTCGGATCCAATCCCAGGTGCTGCGTTGGCGCTCTCGTACCCATTGGCTGGAGCACGCATCGACCCCTGGTGCTTCTTGCCCTGGTTCAAGAAATCGATAGTTAGGAACCCAGGTAATCTATATCACGATAGGCGGATACATGGCACCACCAAGTGTGCAGTGCGCCCACGCATGGCTCTCACATGGCAACCGCTCGTATATCCCTACCTCGTCCCCCACTCTCGCTTGCACCTGCATCACCAAAGATCACGGGGATGCTATGGATGGCTCCATCCAGACTTCTTTGACGAACACCAAGATCCATTTCAGCTGTGTAACTATCCCTCTTCTACTAATCCATGAGACAGACAAGTCCCCTCTTTTATTTGTCCTCGACTCTTTTGTTCTCTTGTTGTATGTGTCAACACACTCACCCATCAAGCAATGGCTGACCCTGGTCTAGCTCTTCCTTAAAGAGTAAGCAGCTCATCCTCGGCGCCTCGGGATGATGACGACAAAGAGATCCAAGCTCCCTAGCAGGGCGCTCGTTCCAACAAAACCTTGGGGGAGACACCAAAGAAGTGCCGTGATGCCCTCTGAACCTTCTGTCCCACATGACCCAAAACCCAAGATGCGTGGATAGCACTTTGCCCGAGTCCATTCCCGGTAACACGTGGGCATGGTCCGCAACTACCTAACAAGAACCCTGTCGCCAGTCTTCCGGTTCCGATCGAGGGGTTGCACGCACGACAGTCTGCAGGTCCCCAACTGCTTTACTTCCATTGTTCACCTCTTACGAAACTTCCACGATTCCTGAGTGACGGTTAGCGGGCCGAGGCGCACCACCCTTGAGTGCAGTCTTTCCGGGCTCGAAACGCTGTCTAAAGATGAGATGCGGTACTTGATACCCAGAGAGCTCACGGAGTCTGGTCTATCGATATGTCAAGTTTGGCATGCCAGTGGCTTGGAGACGACGATCGAGGCCCCTAAACGCTCAGCTGATTAACGCAGGGCTCGACTTCTGCCTCTCTGTGTCGGCTTTTTGGCTTGTCTGGAACAGTCTTGCCCTTCACAATCGAGGGTCCTCTTCGCGTCTGGATCACTCTCATCTTTTGGTCACTTGGTTTAAGGGGCACTCGATAGCCTCTCTTCCTCCGCCCTGCGATCCTTCACAACTGCCGTGATTCTGATCCGCCAAATCTTTGAGAGGGCAACATGAAATACCGGATAACTCGGCCGGGCTTCCTCAGAGTTTTCAGTCCAGCTATCGTGGCGACTCTCATCTACGATCGTCCCCTGGTGCCCGGCTTGTCCACGATATGCTTCATTAGCGCTCTTCTGTTTTCGTATCCCTTGGTGGGGTTCCCGGCGTTGTTGTGATCCAATGACTCTTGTGTTGAGCTATCCTCGAGATGGAGCGTCGACCGCCTCTCCCGCATGAAATTCCCAGATCGTGCGATAAGCAAGCGTGTGCGATTCAGGAGTCAGGGTCCGTCCCGACGAACTTCAAGGCTTCAACCTCAACAGAGTTTAACCAACAATGCTTAGGAGCTTAGCCTGAGACTGCAGCACTAACTTCGTACGTCTTCCGCAGCCAGGACGGTAAAGGACTTAAGGCTACCTTGCGTCTTTAGCACGGGACTGCGTACTAACGTTACGTAGTAGACATACGTAGGCTTCTGAACAATATCAAAATTGTCATCACCCAGTTGCAAGGCATTCGCACCAAGGCCGTTCTCCGGCATAACCATCAAGTAACGCCCGTTTTCCACAGCCATGAGACTTCACTGCCGCCTGACAACGCCACGGGCAGTTGCCCCTTTGCCCCTTGCTGGAAGCCGCACATGTTGAGAAAATGTTCCCCTGGTTCCTGATTTGCTAGGTCGAAGGCAAATATCTTGCATCGAGAGACTTTACGCCAATGACGCGGATGCTCACAGAAACAATGTTCAACACCGGCACTATCCCCGAGTTCCCGGACGCATTCCCCGTCTGTGCCTAACCCTACGACTCAAGGTCACCAACAATGTGGCTTGGCACATTCCCAAGCTGATGCTCCCAAACCGGCAACGCACGAGCCGCCATGTGAGTCCTGTCAGTGTCATGGAGCCCTCCCGGGAGCTGTGGCGCCGCCGATTCGGGGTCGAGCAACTTAAATCACGTCCTGGCGGCACGAACTTGCCCGCAAGAGTCGATCCGTGCCAGCCTAGTGATAGACTCGCGATCAAGCATGTTCGACGATCCTCTATTTTATGGGCAAAATTGTATGCGTTACATCATGGTCAACTTTTGAAACGATAGTTGCGTATTTAACTACGGTGTCTTGGGGATTATGATTCATCATCACTCTTTCGGTGCCGACATGCGAGAACGACGTGAGCTTGAGCTTGAGGGCATTGTTCGAGCGAGAGCTAAGTGACTACATTGTTTCCTAGGAGAACACATTCAAGAATGGAATTCCGCGGAAGTGATGCCTCCGTGGGCATCAGAACCATGTCGGCTGGTTGTGATTGGACAAGTTCCGGTCATCTCAGTTCTGGCCCCGAGACTGGAATTTCACTGACATATCGACAACAACACCATGCCCGATTAGCCACGCTCAGCTGTTGGCGAGCCGGCCCACGCCCACCTCATCGTTCCGACACCCTTGCACACCTGGTTGACTCGGCCGACCTTGAGCGATGCAAACGTTGTTGCAGTGGGGACTTGACTACAATGTCTTGCCGTAGCTCTGGTTGGAGACAACTCGTCGGGTGCCTCCTCCGTGTTCCCGGAACGCTGTTCAATGATGCTGGGATCCCGTGTGTCCGCATTTGGAGACTTGAGCAATGTGAGACATGGCCATGTTGCGTCCCACAGAACCCTGACTGAAAGCATCTTCTCCGAGCAGCTGGGTCCATTGTTCGACAGGTTGCCCCAGAGAGAACTGCCGGCCCACGGCGATCAGGGACCCTCGACAATGCACACGGGCATCATGGCTACCACGCTGCCATGCCAGAATAACCTCCGGCCGGACTGCCCCACACGTTGCCGTCGGGGCACGAGCCAGTTGCGCCGTGGCTCTGCTGCGGATCGACGCCGTCCCATCATGGGCCACCAGCCGATTTCAGACTTTCCCCCTGCGGGCCAGGCCCGAAAGGCTTTTTGATGCTTTGCCAAGGAAGCATAGTCATGACCATGGGAAGATCTCGCCTCCCAAGCGAATCCGGAATACATTTATGATGCCAGACTTCCCCTGGACCACGAGGACTTGTTCCCAAGATATCCAGCACACTACTCTTTCACATTGCAAAAAACAAGGAGCACAGCATAGTCACCCTCTCTCGACACAGCTACCCTTGCCGTTCAAGGTAGTCTGGTCAACGCCACTCTCGTCGCTGCAGTCACAGTGTCATTCCATTCCTCAGGTTCCCACACCGGTATTTCTTCTGAGGCCCCCCTAAGTTGCCCAACATGACTACTACAATGCTCTATACAACGGGTGCTTCGATGGACGAGCCAACGAACAGATTTGCCAGCAAGACCAACAGCTCGGGTAAGCCCAGGCACAGGCCAAAGAGCATCCAGATTGAGCCCTTCGATCCCAATGAGCTGAGCAAGAAGCTCACCGGCCTCGCTGTTGAACAAGATGGACAGCCATTGCAACAAAACCAACTTCAGGTGCCCATGTCGGCAAATGACATGGGCGAGCCATCTCCAAGGACTATTCCGGCACAGCAACCGGCTCCAGCCACGACATCAACAGCACCCAAGTCCCACAAGGACAAGAAGAACGACAAACTGAGTACACCTACTCAGGCTGCGCCATCCCGCCGAAGCAGCATCTTTGACCACCTCCGTTTCAGGGGCTCCAACTACACTGACGAAACTGAACGGCAGGAAGAAGAAGATGCCAAGAAGAAGGTCCGCTATCGACATGTGCCACAGGTAGCGGCGCAACAGTTTGCTCGAACAACTACCGTGGAGCCTCTGGCACAAAAGGCTCAGCCCTCCCCCAAGGGGATGAGACCTGTCCCCGGGCCTCACTCCATGAACAATGGGAGCATGTCGCTGCAAGAATACAACAGGCAGTACAGACGAGCACAGAGTCTATGCAGCGGTAGACCATCGGGACCCCCTGGCCGCACAAGGCTGGAGAGTACTGCAGAGGTGGACGAGGAAAACTCGCAGCAGAAGAACCCTCGAATCTCTGTCCAGGGCTGGAACGATCTTAAGGCGGGTGAGCCAGGCCGAAGGATGAGCACTGGCAACATGTGGGGAAGAGGTGATCCCCAACTTCAAGTCCCGTTCCGCAGAGACTCAACCGCCGTCGGGGCCGTCTGCCAGAACAACCCTACCTCTGGAAGACGAGGTTCTGCCAGCTCATCGGGCTTCTCGGACGTCTCGTCGCCATTTGCGCGCGATTCTGGTCCAGCGTCGCCCTTCAAGACCGAGTTTGGCGACGCCAACTCTCCCAACCGGCGAGGATCAGACAACACCAGCACGACGGCTTCGCGAAGGAGCAGTGTTGCCAACATGGCCAATCCCCAGCGGGCTGCCGAGGTGCACCGTGTGGACTGGTCGCAGAGCGATCAGCCAGCCAAGGTTCGACGAGATTCCAAGTGGGCGGGCCTCAAGCAGCGCAAGGCCAGTGTGAACCAAAAGACCAACAACGGGGAGAAGCTTAGCCCTGCTGGTAATGTAACAGAGGTTCAGGCTCAGCCTTCAACCTCACCAAAATCACCCAAGGCTGGATTTCTGGGGCGATTCAAGCGTTAGCGAGCGAATGGACATGGGAATGGAAGAGATATGAGATGGATTATACCTGAAGAATAATATGACACCAACCAGGGACACATTGTAACATTATCATCAACTATTCAGACTCGGACCAAGAGACATTTCTTAGCCTTATGCAATTTTAAAACCACGCGCTTTCAAGGTGAAATCCAAGGGGCGAACATGTCGTCGTCCTTTTGGTCCTGCGGCGTGTAACACTGATGCCCGCTCAGCGCTTTTCCTGTGCCATTAAGCGTTCGATAAGCTTTGTATCCTCCTGTGCGAGTTGCTGGCGCAGTATGTCGCCGACATCGGCTTGAGCGTTATCGGTGTTCATGAGATGCAGTATCAGCTCCGAGTACTCGCGAATTGCATCGCCCTCCTCGCCGTCAGCGCGGCGGGCCCTGCGCAAAGCCTCCTTGCCATTCTGTATTCCTATGTCGTGGTTCCAGGTCTCTCTCCTTGGCGGTAGGCCTTTGAGCAGGGAGGCAGGAATGGCAGACTTGGTCTCGGGTGGTGGGAGGGTAGCGGCGTGGATTTGAAGGAGTTGGTCGGGCAGGTGGGGATATTTCTGGAAGAGCTGGCGTAGTTTGTCGGAGGATTCGAGAGCACGGAAGGGGTTTGAAGGGTCGAATGGTTGTCGCGGTTCTGAGGATTGCTGCTGCGGTTGGGGTTGCTCGGGTTTGGGTGCGGGCTCGGGGTCAGGAGGATGGTTCTCGCGATGTGTCTTGTTGCAAGCAACGGAGCAACTTAGGTTCGTTAGGACTCGTAATGGTTGGTATAGGGAAAAGGAAGTATACTCACTATGGGAGATAGCATCGTGGGCATTTGTACTTGGGCGGGTTTACATTGCACACGCCGCAGAGTGAAGGCTTGGGCGGTGTCGCATCAGAGCTCGCGGTAGCTTCAGCAGCATCTTGAGCTCCAGCGTCCGGCACCAAAGTCTCATTCGTAGGCTGCGCAGCCTTATCTGATTCTTCCTGAGTAGTCGACATAGTCATAAAAGAGCGCTCAACGTAAAAGCAAGATCGGGCTGAAAGTGTGATATCAACTTTTTTGCAATTAAAAGGAAAAAAAAAAGTGATAAGCCAAGCTCCCCGCGCGTCATGGCTTTCCGACCCGCGCTTCGAACAACGGAGAAAAAGAAAAGAGATGGTCCGTGCGCGACGGGGTCCCTCTCAGCCTGCCCTTGCATCATAGCACGGCAATTACTAATGCTCGGGCCTATCACGGCTTGCACGGCTACACAAGACCGAGGACGGCGGCGAAAACTTGAGAGTCCAACACCAAATCGCTCTTATTTTTTCCCTCTTAATTCTCAAAGCGGAGGCATTTTACGAATCCTTCCTATTGATATTCTGGAATTTTCACCTATAATTCGCTTCTCGTTTTCTTTTCCCTGCCATCATCGTTACTCCAGCTTTTGGAATTGCGTCATGGCTTCTTCCAGAGCTCCCCGAGTTGTGTCACGGACACTGGCTACCCTCACCCGGTCTGCCACGGAGACGACCTCCCGGACAGCGCCGCGATGGACTCGTCCTCTTAGCACAGTCCGAACCCATCTTCCTACCGCTACATCCTCTTCCCGCCCTCGGGTACAACTCCGCGCCCGGTCGGCGACCGCCCCAGGGCTCGCCGGCGTCGGCAGCGGCGTCCGAACCATCTTCATCCAGACCGAGGGCACGCCGAACCCCGACGCCCTCAAGTTCCTGCCAAACCACCGCGTCGTCCCCGAGGGCATATCTACGCCCTTTATCGAATACCTCAACCCCCGAGCGACCATCTCACCGCCGCACCCCTCACCCCTCGCCGCCAAGCTCATGAATATTGATGGAGTCACCTCCGTCTTCTACGGCGCTGACTTTATCACTGTGACCAAGGCTGCCGATGCCAATTGGGCGCATATCCGACCCGAGATCTTTGCCCTCATTACCGAGGCAATTACATCAGGCGAGACCCTCGTCAACGTCGCTGAGCGTCGTGAGGGAGAGACCCATCCCGAAGCTGAGGAGGATAGTCTGGCATATAACGAGGATGATAGCGAGGTTGTTGGCATGATCAAGGAATTGCTCGAGACGCGCATCCGACCAGCGATCCAAGAAGACGGCGGTGATATTGATTTCCGGGGTTTCGATGATGAAGGATATGTACACCTCAGGTTGCGAGGCGCATGCCGCACATGCGACTCCAGCACGGTTACCCTCAAGAACGGTATTGAGGGCATGCTAATGCATTATGTGAGTTCTGTTTCCTCTCCTTCATACCACGCCGTAATGGCTCGCTAATACGCCACATCAGATTGAAGAGGTCAAGGGTGTGAAGCAAGTGCTGGATCAAGAGGAGGAGATTGCTCTCAAGGAGTTTGAAAAGTTTGAAGAAAAGCTGAAGCAGCAAAAGGGACAGGGACAGGTGGCTTCGGCAGCATAGATAGCTGGATGATATGAACCCATTGTATCTGTATAGTAGTTTGGCGGGACAACCTCATGATACCCACGTATGCTCATGCCCTGTTCCCTCCTTCGTGTACATTATTTCACTGCATCGTATGTATCAGTAGATCAAGACTTATGAGCTTCCTCGATGAATTATGAGACATCAACAAATGGCACTCCATTCATGTGGTGTTGCTCCTCTCTAAACCGGAGATGCCCAACTCTGCAGCACAGTAGACCTGGGTCATCGTTCACTCATGGCGCCTTGTTAGCCCCTCAAACCTCTCTGCGAGGATACTGTAGCGGCACTTTGTCCCGTGGCCGGATTCGGAGTAGAGGGTGTGCGAACTTTAAATTGCCCGATAATCAAGGAGCGACCTTCAGACATTCTCCAATTCGACGACGCCAAGCTTTGCTGCGGGCTTGCCATTGATGCAGATGTCCTCGGCTGCAGCGCGGCACAGCCACCAACCTGGTGGTTTGTGAGGTCTCGTGCTGGACTCGAAAGGTTCCGATCGCGATGGCAGCATTCGTTCTTCGCGATACACTGGCATATGTGCTGGGTTACCGAAATATCCTTGCCATGTTTCCACAGTCAGGAACGTTTCGATGGCATGTGTAAGGCCATCGTCGTCCGCTGTCGTGTCCGATCCTGAAAGCGCAATAAGATTGGCACGGGCATTGCCGTACCAGACTAACGTTGTTCCACCTGAACAGGCGTCGGGGGGGATATGGTCAGGCTGATAGTGCGCATCCTGCTCTCTTGAACCGGTACCCTTGGGTACAAAGCCTGCTTCCGTCCTGAGGCTCCACGAAATGAGGAGAAAATCCGGGGTAGCACCCCGCCAGAACCAATGGATTTGAGGTGCAACATCCAATGGATCCATCGCATGGCGGGGACACCTCCACCACGCCCATCCATCCCATTCCGTGCCGTGGCTGTCGTGATGGCCAGGAAGATCATGGCCGTTTGCCTTGCGCATGCTAAATATCCGAACCCATAGCCTCGTATCGTCTCTCATGGCATCAAGGTTTCGGTTTTTGGACTTTAGTGCTTCATGAGAAGTCCCGCAAGTTGACTACCGGCCTTTTTCGTACGACCAAACAGCACTGACGGTCAACTCAAGTCGATGAATTCTCCGGGGTCTTCTGGATGCATGCATTTCAGTGACATGCAGGCCCCCAAGGCGACGCTTGGTTTCAATTCCCAAGCCCAATGATTGTCGAGGAGGCTGAGACGTTGAGGGGGTACGTGTGTGATATATCCGATCATGGCCCGAATCAACCTCTGGCCTCGGAGGGAGCGGCAAGGGCCTTGTCAGAAGCAACGCTGTCTCCAGCAAAAGGTGCGCCGTGCCCGGCGTGCCGGCGTCCTGGAGAACGAGTGCCGTCATCTTGCCTACCTTAATCCAGTAAACACCTCCAGCTCCAGGAACCCAGCCATGATGGCGCGTGACGTGCTGCAGCCGCGGTGCAGCTAGTTCTGCAACAATGTCTTCCTCTCGTCCCGACTGACCAAATGCTGTGAGCTGGTGGCGCCCCCTGGCATGGAGGAACAAGGTGGTTTCTTTGACGCTAAGTCGAGCCAAGTCTGGTCGAGCGAGATGTTCCTGTCGCATTCATCCGCTGGTCTATAACCTGCACCTTGCTAATGTTCTCGAGTTGGGCAAGCATATCCAGTTTGCCGATTTATAGACAAAACAGCACCAGAAACACCTGACGGGGAATTAGCCCTTTAGCGCCCGCGACGAGCTGGAGACTCTTGGGGATGTTGGCGCCAAAGCTGCGTCATTGGGACGGTCGACTGGGCGAGGAGCCGCAGGTGAATGGCCGAAGCCGTCGCGGGGAAGGCTACTGTATAGTACAGCACAGCACCAGGCGGGAGAGCAGGGTAATTGAATCTCCACCGTAACCCCAGTATCTGGTGAGAGCGAGTGAGGATCGCTGTGACCTGTGAGGATCGACGCCTTGGCCAATGCGGGCCACATGGCGTGTCGAATCTGCCATTCCCATGTGCCGAATTGTCATGGCCTGGACTTGCTATTGCTCCAAACGGTTCAACGCTCAGAAGGCTTTGGCGTTGCTTAGCAAATTGAGGATGTTGCCATCGAGATTGGTGAACCAGTCACGGGCCTGAACGAGCTGTCGCATAGAACTCAATGCTCGGTAGAGCCTGAAGGCCTGTCGATACTTTAATGAGAAGACGGCAGTTCCTGGTGGGCGTGAGCTCGATGCTGGGAGGTGCTTTGCCATGGATTCAACTACAGTGTGAATTTGGAGAGTCAGTCACTGTCTGGTAGTGTGTGGGCAACATCCACTGGGTCCATCACAGGCAAGTTCCTTCCCTGGAGGTTTGGTGCGCACAGTAAAGTTTATCACATTTACACCCACAGGGAATGAGGACGGGGTTGGCATTCCCAGACAGCGAAGAGGAGCCAAGACTTGGAGCAGGGTTTCGAACGGTTGTAATCCGTAAGGCTCCCCGAGACCATTCGAGACACTCAGGGATCATATTTGATCTCGGTAGGGAGCAAGGTTGGATGATATGATGAACGAGAAGCGCGAACCTGGGACGCAAGAATATTGCTTTTTGTCAATCGCGGCTCTTTATTTCTTCAAACTGAGACTGAGAAGATCCATTGCAGGCCCAGCTCCGGAAAGTGACGTGAGGAACTCTGACTGAGAGCTTCCAGCAGGTGGGAACTGTGTCTTGCACTAGAGTACGGCGGCGATCTTGATCAGGGAGTCCCTTGGATCGCATCGCTGACCGGCCTATCCCACCTATGGCATGGTCACGGGAGACGCGATCATAGTTCGTCCGGTAAGCTACAACACACGATGACGCCGTTGCCTTTCTGCGCGTCGGATGACAATGAATTCACCGGGTGCCGAGAGGCATTACCAAAGCCATCATCATGGAGCCCAGTGGCGGCGGGGTCTCGTCCTCGAGTCGAGGTCTCCGGCTCCAGTTCTTAGCCCTAGCCCATGCCTCGAGCTGCAATGCCAGCCATACCTGGTCCCTCCGCATGCCGTCCGGTTTCCTCGCCTTTTCCCGCGACTGATTCACCTGATGTGATCCATGGATGCTCTGACGCTGAGCGTTCGGTTGGTCGGGGTCCAGGTGGAGTCGATGAGCTTCTTCCGAGTAGCGCATGTGTGGAGTGTCCAATCCGCTTTCATTGTAACGGCACCAAGCACGGAGCCCTGCAAGGACAGGGAGGGCATCCACCACCTTGAGCCTGGAAGAATCGACTTGTTTGCCTGTTGTGTCCCGGAGGTCGACGTCCATCATCAAGCGGCTACCTGCTGTGAGTGGGTGTCCTTCTGTAGCTTCAGGAGCCGCCCATCCCCCCCTTTAACAGACTCTAGTCGCGTCCCCCGCTGGCCCCCCTACACAAGAGGTACGCAACGGGCACGAGATGAGGAACGTTGAAGGAAGGGCAGCGGCAGAGCCAAGCGTCATAGGCTCCGTCTTTTGCGGGTGCTGTTGTTGATGCGACGGGGACTCGTCCATCCCAGCCCCCATTGAAACTGTGCATCACGAGAGGCGAATGACGCAGCCT